AAGGGTTCAAAATATATGCGAGACAAATTTCAGAGGCAGAAATGAAAAATAAGGACAGTTGCGACGCCTTTTACTTTTCAAGTGACATATTTTTTCTTTAAATAGCTATATTAAAACAGCCTTATCTCAAAAAATCTAAAAGCCGCAATCTCAATAATGGGTGTTTATATATAACAGACACTTGGCTTTTATCCTCAATAAAAATTTTATGCATAGCTATTGGGAATATTTTTTAAAAATTTTTTTCTTATGTCCAAACAGGACAAATATGGAAAATTTCACGTTTTTAAAAGGAATCTCCAAGAATTATTTCTGGTTTATAGGTGCTAGAAACATGGTCAATGGCGTATATTGGAGCTTTCAAAGCGTTTTCTTCTCATAACTGGGAAAATAAATGATCTGGGTATCCTCTGAGATTTTCTAGCGCCTCGAAGTTGACTGAAACTACCAGATACGAGAATTCAAGAATTTGAACTTTTGTTCTAGGCGTGCTATGATTACGATCGATAGCTTTTCTTGAAGCTAAGTAATCACTGAATTCATCGAGGTGATATTTTTGAACCAGCTGGTCATTCTGGTGGTTCGTCGCGGTCCAAACCTTTGGATGGATTGAGATCCGGCAATATGTATATCAAAATGCATATTTTTTGATAAGAAGTAGTTCCAACAGATTTTCAAACAAAACCACTCCGTTGACCGACCGGTTCACAGCGGTTCCGAACGGTTCACGCTCCGAGTATTCACAAAATATTGAAATATGTATATCAAAATGCTTCTCTACTAAAAAGAGTCTTTCAAACTGATTTTCGATCACTTGGCTAACCGCCCGGTTCACAGTGGTTCAAAGCGGTTCACGCTCTTAGTATCAACAAAATGCTGAAATATAACCCTAACCCGTAGGGAAGGAAAGTCTCGTTTATTTAATTGAGTCTGCGACGGGACGAAGCCGACTCGAAGGGGAGCCAGTCTCGTTTATTCAATTGAGTCTGTGGCGGGGCGAAGCCGACCCGAAGGGAGGCCAGTCTCGTTTATTCAATTGAGTCTGTGACAGGGCGAAGCCGACCCAAAGGGAGGCCAGTCTCGTTCATTCAATTCAGTTTGCGACGGGGCGAAGCCGACCCGAAGGGAGGCCAGTCTCGTTTATTCAATTGAGTTTGCGACGGGGCCAAGCCGCCCCTAGGGAGGCCGGTTCCGTTTATTCAATTGAGTTTGCGACGGGGCCAAGCCGCCCCTAGGGAGGCCGGTTCCGTTTATTCAATTCAGTCTGGGACGGGGCCAGGTCGATCCGAATGGCCAGTCCAGTTTATTCAATTAAGTCTGCGAATAAACGAGACTGGCCTCCCCTTCGGATCGGCTTCGCCCCGTCGCAAACTCATTCGAATAAACGAGACTGGCCTCCCCTTCGGGTCGGCTTCGCCCCGTCACTGACTCAATTGAATAAACGAGACTGGCCTCCCTTCGAGTCGGCTTCGCCCCGTCGCAGACTCAATCGAATAAACAAGACTGGCTTCCCTTCGGGTCGGCTTCGCCCCGTCGCAAACTGAATTGAATAAACGAGACTGGCCTCCCCTTCCGGTCGGCTTCGCCCCGTCACAGACTCAATTGAATAAACGAGACTGGCCTCCTTCGGGTCGGCTTCGCCTCGTCACTGAGTCAATTGAATAAACGAGACTGACCTCCCCTTCGGGTCGGCTTCGCCTCGTCACTGACTCAATTGAATAAACGAGACTGGCCTCCCGTTCGGGTCGGCTTCGCCCCGTCACGGACTCAATTGAATAAACGAGACTGGCTTCCCCTTCGGGTCGGCTTCGCCCCGCCACCGACTCAATTGAATAAACGAGACTGGCCTCTCCTTCGGATCGGCTTCGCCCCGTCGCAGACTCAATTTTATGAATGGGACTGTAAATAGAAGATGAACTGTCTTGAACCACGACGAACCAGTCATTTAGCCAAGTAGTTTGGTTCGAATATCTGTTAAAATGACTTCTAAAGCTAGAGATACATTTTGATATTTATATTTCAGCATTTTGTGAATACTTAGAGCGTGAACCACTCTTAACCGCTCTGAACCGGGCGGTTAGCCAAGTGGTTTGGCTCGTTAATCAGTTTAAAAGACTCCTCTTGAGTAGAATAGCATTTTCATATACATCTTTCAATATTCTGTGAATATTCAGACCGTGAACCGCTGTGAACCGGGCGGTAAGCCAAGTGGTTCTGTTCGAAAGTAAGTTTTAAAGAGTCCTCTTGAGTAGATAGGCATTTTGATATACATATTTCAATATTTTGTGAGTATTCAGGCCGTGAACCGCTTTGAACCACTGTGAACCGGGCGGTTAGCCAAGTGGTTCTGTTCGAAAATCAGTTTGAAGAACTCCTTTTTAGTAGAGAAGCATTTTGATATACATATTTCAATATTTTGTGAGTACTCGGAGCGTGAACCGTTTTGAACCGCTGTGAACCGGTCGGTCAACGAAGTGGTTTTGTTTGAAAATCTGTTGGAACTTCTTCTTATCAAAAAATATGCATTTTGATATACATATTGCCGGATCTCAATCCATCCAAAGGTTTGAACCGCGACGAACCACCAGAGAGGCTAAAAAGCCCTAAAAATGGCTATTTTTTGGCTAAAAAGCTTTAAAAAATCGAATTCAATATATAATGAATGCTGATGAGCTATTTTCTCTTTGTTATTTGCAGTAAAGGGTTCAAAATATATGCGAGACAAATTTCAGAGGCAGAAATGAAAAATAAGGACAGTTGCGACGCCTTTTACTTTTCAAGTGACATATTTTTCTTTAAATAGCTATATTAAAACAGCCTTATCTCAAAAAATCTAAAAGCCGCAATCTCAATAATGGGTGTTTATATATAACAGACACTTGGCTTTTATCCTCAATAAAAATTTTATGCATAGCTATTGGGAATATTTTTTAAAAATTTTTTCTTATGTCCAAACAGGACAAATATGGAAAATTTCACGTTTTTAAAAGGAATCTCCAAGAATTATTTCTGGTTTATAGGTGCTAGAAACATGGTCAATGGCGTATATTGGAGCTTTCAAAGCGTTTTCTTCTCATAACTGGGAAAATAAATGATCTGGGTATCCTCTGAGATTTTCTAGCGCCTCGAAGTTGACTGAAACTACCAGATACGAGAATTCAAGAATTTGAACTTTTGTTCTAGGCGTGCTATGATTACGATCGATAGCTTTTCTTGAAGCTAAGTAATAGGGTTGGCCAAAAAAATGAAAACGATTTTTCAGTCATTTTTTCTCGAAATAAATGTTTATATAAAAGTAAACATTTTTTGTATTTATTGTGATACCCTAGCGTTATCGGAACATACTTTTATCACCCCTTAAAAAATTTGAAACTTTGAAAAAAATTGCGGCGCTGGGATTCGAACCCAAAACGTCCGGTGGAGCGGTCAACACCACTCTCCACCAAGCCATGGATACTTGGAGGAGGCTTCAGAAAATGTGTTTTTATTTGAAAATATGAATCTTTCATCAAATTGAAAGAAAAGGACCAGCGTTTTCTTCACTTTGTTCGGAAAAAGCACGATTCCGTCGATTGTTTTCATCACTGTTCCAACTTAATTTACTTATTTATTACTTTTAATAATAAAATATCGATTAATTATATAAAATAAAATAATTCCCCTAACCAGCCGTCTGCAAGACCGAGAGAAAATTGCACTATTTTCTCTAGCTGCTCGGCATTGGCGGAAATTCTGGCATAAGAATTCCAGCCGAGGAAGAGAAGTTGGTGAAGGGAAAATTCGGTTGTGAGGATCGTGGAGAGTCGGAGGCGAAATAGAGGAGGTTGAGGAGGAAGATGGCGATGAAGAAGAGGAGGAGGAAAGTAAAAAGTATTTTTTTAATCTCTAGGAGGTAGACATAATTTCTTCCTAAAATTAACATAGTGACACCCTTATTTTTATTTACTTATTTTACATGTAAATTAATTTAATCATATTAATTAATAAAATAGTTTTTATATTTGAAAATAAAATAAAAAGACTCAAGATCAGGAAGGGGCGCCCACAGATCTTTTGCCAGAAGAAGCTGTCGGGCGCCAAAGGGGATCCCCGGCGGATCGACGGGAAGGGACGAGGCCTTGTCCGGGCCGGTGACTGGCAGATGGTTCAGGGTACGCCGCGCTGGCTCCTGAGGCTACCCCAGCCCGACCCGGACTAAACCCTTCCCCGATCTGCCAAGGTCCTTAAGTGGGAGACGAGTGAGAACCACCCTCCTCGGTAAATCGGCTTCGCCGGTCATGCTACGGAGCAGGGAAAAGCCTGACGATGCGGCGGCGTCAGGTACTTTTTCCTGCTGAGGGGGATGCCTAAGAAGCCTGTGAATACAATTATATATCTTTCACAGGTGGAGGCATCTCTCCCTTCCCTCTGAGGTCAAGCGCCTAACACGCGTAACTCCGGTGGTTGGAGGCCTCCCCATAGGTAGAACAACCTATGGTGATCCGATCGAGAGACGGCCATCCTTTGGATGCGGAGTGGAAGCCGGTTTGGGAGGCAGAAGCTGGGGAGACACAGGACAGTGCTCTCTCCGGTGGACGCTGCTTGACCAAGGCATGACCGAGCATGAAGTCGCCGGGTGGGCACCGGTAACCCCTCAAAAGTGTCTTTTGAGAAGCTTGTTTCCAAATGAAGATTCATTTTTTTCGAAAGACACGTGGTCAACTATTGTTCATTTTTTCATTTTTTTTACCGCCGCATCCCCCAAAATAGATATTTTTTCGTAAATAAAACTGTGTGTAAGTGCAATTTACACACAGGATTAAGCGATTTGACTATTCTAATTTTATAGGTTTCTGTGAGTAAAAGATGCGTGTAAGTGCTGCTTACACGCAAAGGGTTTCTTTTTCATTATTTCAACTTCTTAAATCTATTTTTGCGTACTTATTATTTTGTTCATTCAGAAAATGTGATTAACTTAAACTTAAAAGATATTATTCAGAAATCTTCATTGTTTGCGAAAAATGTCGTTTGTTTCGAAAAAGGCCGGTCCTTCTGCAGTTCTCGAGCAACCAATGAAAATCGCCTTGTTGGCTAAAAATGCGGGAATGGATGTCAAACAGCTCGCTTTATCGCGCCGAAAAGAAAGCAAAGATAAACTGGAAGCGCGAAGCTTGAAACTCGCCCGTCAGCTGATTGTGAAGGGATTCAACTGTCAAGTATTTCTTCAACGGAATATCCGGGCGTTGGCAAAGAAACTTCTCATTTTTCCAAAGGAAGAGGACATCGAGCTGTACGTTCCCCATCAACCGTTGGACTTCTCGTCAGAATCCGACTTCGATTCAAGTATGTTGAGCAATACTGATCAGGACGAATCTTGCGAAGAACCTATGAACATGTCGATCACTGATTCCAACTACGACACGATGGCCTCTTCTTTGGATACCAGCCATACAATGAGTTGTGACGATATGATGGACTTGAAAGAGTCGGAAAATACGGAAGAAACCTCTTCCGCAATTCAAGTTGTGGAAGAAACGCAAATTGATAGCTCATCAATGTTGAAAGAAGATGTTATCAAGCGAATTCGCGAATTTCCTCGTTTTCGAGCTCATCATGCAAGAAAAATTCTCGACCTGCTCCGAGTCGATGAGAACATTCACGAAATATTGTCCGACACAGAATCTGTTGCTGAGTCGACCTCATCCAATTACAGCGATGAAATAATTGAAGAGGAAAAGGCGGAAAGTGTGACGAATAGCAAAGAAAAGTTTTCGCTTTTGAAGCTCATGAGTGAGAATAACCTAAGGTGATATTTCCTTAGAAATGAAAAATTTTAACAGCCGTTTAGTTCGATTCAGGCGCAAAAAGTGGCGGAGGAATTTGTCGTTGCAGAGAAGGCGCGAGGACTCAGCTCCAGAAATCTTAGGCGGCTTGCCACCTGCACTGAGGAAATGAACAAGGAACAGCTAGTTCGAGTTTTGCGAGACTGCGATGACTTTGTTTTGGGAGCGGATGGATCAAAAATTGCTTCGACAAAGTTCCAATCATTCACGATCAGATCCGGAACAGAATGCTATATTTTTCAACTGGTCGCCATTCCTGATGAAAAGTCTGAAACCGTCCGCGAAGCCTTTCAGTCTTATCTCTCAAGTTTTCCAGACGAAACTCAGCAGCATTTCGCTTCAAAGGTTTCTTTAGTTTCAGAAACGGCATTAAACTCTTTGTAGTGCATGGCGACAGCGAGCGATTCTGCGGCGAACGCACTTAAAAGCTGCAAGCTTATCATGGAAACCTTGGATAAAATCACGCCAAGAGAAAGGCTTCATCTGAAATGCTCGATGCATAAGGTAATTGTTTGCGACATATTTTTCGAGAAAATGAATTATTCCGTTAGGTCTGTCACATGGAGAAGTGTATCCGAGCTTGCATCCAGAACGTTTTTGATGATATCTTGCAGTTTTGTGAAGCATATTTGACGTGTTCCAGGAGCCATGGACTTCATGGTTCCCAAGGCAGCAAGCTCAAAATTTATCTTGAAGCCCTTCGATCTCGTGATGGTCTACAGAAAGTGACAAAGCCGCTTGAAATGCAAAGTCATGTTCGGTATATTTATCTTGATGAAAACAGTTATATTCATTTTTCTTAGTTTTGGTAATCTTACCAGAAATCTCCAGCGAATCGCAACAAACTACAGCGATATTGTCGATTTCATCCGGTTCGAGCTCGCTCTCACTGACGATGCGAAGGTTATGGAAGACAATAAAGCGCAGACGATCATTGAATTCGCCAGCTCGGCGATGGTTTATTCCGTCATCGTGAGTCCTTACTGGTCAAAAGTGTCCGGCCTGATGAACTCAGAACAATATCTGTCTCTTGAGGAGCATTTCAAGCAAGTTCTTAAAGATGTTCTCTCATCTTCTTCTCCTGCTTTATTCCTTTTGAAAAGGGCGAAAGAAATCGACAGTTCCTCTTGGGAACTTGGATTCGAAGATGTTGTATTGGAAATCTCTGGAGATACATCGAACTCCAAGTTCCTCGACGAGTGCATCAAAATGCGTCTTCACGCTGTTGAGAAACGGTTCGGCGATTTCGTGAATGAATGCAGCTTTCCATTCGCAAAAGAAATATCATTCACAAATCAGGTTTATATTTGTCCGCATACAACAAAATACATAACTTTAAATAAGGACTGCGAGAGAAGCTTCGGATCAGCTAAAGACTCATTCTCCTCGAAGTATAATATGGACACGTTCAAGTTCCAACAAGCAGTGATGAGTCGCTTCAATATGACCTTCTCTTTTTGGCGACGACAGACTGACTTCGAGCAGAAACTCGGCCAGTTCATGGCCAATGCCTCTTCCAAAGAAGCTTCTATCACGGAGAGAAGAAGATCCGACCATAATGATTCTATTGCGAGAATGCTGTCCGATATTGAAGAAGGCGAAAAAAAATCGAACACAAGTGGCAGTTTTTGAAGCCGTTATCGCAGAACATAAGCTTTGGCCGTCTCCCATCAACGAGGTTGAATAGTAGTTCGATCTGATGCATTATTTTTCCTTTAGGCTGACGATAAACAGTGCTTGAAAACATTCACACAGCTTGTGCAGCCAAACTACCCAGTGAAAGTTTCACTTCATCAGTTTCGAGGTCATGTTCTGGGCTATATCAACAAACAGCTTTCTGCAGAGGACAAAGAAATCATTCAATCAAAGTTGAAAAAGAAAAGATCATTGAAAGAACTGTTCAATCAAACCGTTGAACACTTCAATAAACTCCAATAATTGATCTCGAAAAAATTAGCGTGTTCAAAAAAAAATGGTCTCACTGGGATTCGAACCCGGGCCCCCTTGGTTCATGGGTGATGTTTTAGGGCATCGAAACGTTTTTCAAATTGTAAAAGCGGATTAAATTGATAATACACTAAAAAACTATAAAAAACAAAATTTTTATAATTTTAGCCCTCTTCCTCACACCTTCCACGAAAAAAAAAGTGTCTTCCGATACCGCTAGAGACTCATCCGACGGCTCAAAAAGACCGCCTTGATGAGCTCTATCTAAATCTAAAAGAAAAACTTCTGAAAAGTGGTACTAGAAAAAAGTTATTGAGAAAAAACCACTTTTCGGCTACTTTCAAGCCTCCAAAAATGGGTACCCGAAAATTTTTTTTCCAAATTTTTTGAAAAATATTATTTTATAGACCCAAATATACAATCAAGGAAAGTTTTAAGGAAATCAAAGGACCATCCCTTTTTTTGGCCAACCCTACTAAGTAATCACTGAATTCATCGAGGTGATATTTTTTGAACCAGCTGGTCATTCTGGTGGTTCGTCGCGGTCCAAACCTTTGGATGGATTGAGATCCGGCAATATGTATATCAAAATGCATATTTTTTGATAAGAAGTAGTTCCAACAGATTTTCAAACAAAACCACTCCGTTGACCGACCGGTTCACAGCGGTTCCGAACGGTTCACGCTCGAGTATTCACAAAATATTGAAATATGTATATCAAAATGCTTCTCTACTAAAAAGAGTCTTTCAAACTGATTTTCGATCACTTGGCTAACCGCCCGGTTCACAGTGGTTCAAAGCGGTTCACGCTCTTAGTATCAACAAAATGCTGAAATATAACCCTAACCCGTAGGGAAGGAAAGTCTCGTTTATTTAATTGAGTCTGCGACGGGACGAAGCCGACTCGAAGGGGAGGCCAGTCTCGTTTATTCAATTGAGTCTGTGGCGGGGCGAAGCCGACCCGAAGGGGAGGCCAGTCTCGTTTATTCAATTGAGTCTGTGACAGGGCGAAGCCGACCCAAAGGGAGGCCAGTCTCGTTCATTCAATTCAGTTTGCGACGGGGCGAAGCCGACCCGAAGGGAGGCCAGTCTCGTTTATTCAATTGAGTTTGCGACGGGGCCAAGCCGCCCCTAGGGAGGCCGGTTCCGTTTATTCAATTGAGTTTGCGACGGGGCCAAGCCGCCCCTAGGGAGGCCGGTTCCGTTTATTCAATTCAGTCTGGGACGGGGCCAGGTCGATCCGAATGGCCAGTCCAGTTTATTCAATTAAGTCTGCGAATAAACGAGACTGGCCTCCCCTTCGGATCGGCTTCGCCCCGTCGCAAACTCATTCGAATAAACGAGACTGGCCTCCCCTTCGGGTCGGCTTCGCCCCGTCACTGACTCAATTGAATAAACGAGACTGGCCTCCCCTTCGAGTCGGCTTCGCCCCGTCGCAGACTCAATCGAATAAACAAGACTGGCTTCCCCTTCGGGTCGGCTTCGCCCCGTCGCAAACTGAATTGAATAAACGAGACTGGCCTCCCTTCCGGTCGGCTTCGCCCCGTCACAGACTCAATTGAATAAACGAGACTGGCCTCCCCTTCGGGTCGGCTTCGCCTCGTCACTGAGTCAATTGAATAAACGAGACTGACCTCCCCTTCGGGTCGGCTTCGCCTCGTCACTGACTCAATTGAATAAACGAGACTGGCCTCCCGTTCGGGTCGGCTTCGCCCCGTCACGGACTCAATTGAATAAACGAGACTGGCTTCCCCTTCGGGTCGGCTTCGCCCCGCCACCGACTCAATTGAATAAACGAGACTGGCCTCTCCTTCGGATCGGCTTCGCCCCGTCGCAGACTCAATTTTATGAATGGGACTGTAAATAGAAGATGAACTGTCTTGAACCACGACGAACCAGTCATTTAGCCAAGTAGTTTGGTTCGAATATCTGTTAAAATGACTTCTAAAGCTAGAGATACATTTTGATATTTATATTTCAGCATTTTGTGAATACTTAGAGCGTGAACCACTCTTAACCGCTCTGAACCGGGCGGTTAGCCAAGTGGTTTGGCTCGTTAATCAGTTTAAAAGACTCCTCTTGAGTAGAATAGCATTTTCATATACATCTTTCAATATTCTGTGAATATTCAGACCGTGAACCGCTGTGAACCGGGCGGTAAGCCAAGTGGTTCTGTTCGAAAGTAAGTTTTAAAGAGTCCTCTTGAGTAGATAGGCATTTTGATATACATATTTCAATATTTTGTGAGTATTCAGGCCGTGAACCGCTTTGAACCACTGTGAACCGGGCGGTTAGCCAAGTGGTTCTGTTCGAAAATCAGTTTGAAGAACTCCTTTTTAGTAGAGAAGCATTTTGATATACATATTTCAATATTTTGTGAGTACTCGGAGCGTGAACCGTTTTGAACCGCTGTGAACCGGTCGGTCAACGAAGTGGTTTTGTTTGAAAATCTGTTGGAACTTCTTCTTATCAAAAAATATGCATTTTGATATACATATTGCCGGATCTCAATCCATCCAAAGGTTTGAACCGCGACGAACCACCAGAATGACCAGCTGGTTCCAAAAATATCACCTCGATGAATTCAGTGATTACTGAGCTTCAAGAAAAGCTATCGATCGTAATCATAGCACGCCTAGAACAAAAGTTGAAATTCTTGAATCCCGTATAATTATCACGTTTTTTTTTGAAACTTTAAAAATTATTTAAAAAATATTCCCAACTCTCACGGCATCGAGACATATATCATTTGAATCGCCAGCTTCTGCTCTTTCGATACATATATATTTCCCTTTTGCGGCTTTCAAAAAATTTTTTTGTGTCCGACCCTACTCCAGATCAAGTGCAAAAAGAGTCAATTTTTCCACTGGCGAATTTACACTGCCAAATTTACTTATAAATTTATTCGCAAATAAATTGTCTTTTTATTTTATTTTTTTTAAGAACGGTAAAAAATCAGTAAAAAATTTTCGAAAATTTTGAATTTGAAATTTGAAAATGGATTGCAGTTTGTCGCTTAGCGTGAGGAAAAAAGGGGTACGGGTAATTTCGAGTAACCCGCCGCGCGAGTAGAAACGGGTAAAAGGGTAGCGGATTATCGCGAGCTACTCGGCGGCAAGGAGAAAAATCGTATGGCGGGTAGCCCGCGAAAAGACTCTCCGCGCGAGTAACCCGTTGAAAAATCTGCGGGTTACCCGGAGAAAAATTGCGGGTAATTTTGAAGGACTCGAAATCAACAGCCCTGCCGCTGATTCCAAAAATACAAAAATCAGAGCCGCCGGTCGAGGTTTTGGTGGTGCAGCGCGCGCTGTCTTGGCGCACTTGGTGCAAGGGAGATTTTTCAGTGAAAATTTCCCAAAATAGTTTTCTATAGGTTTTTGAACATGGTGAACCCGAAACTGATGGTTATTTTTGTTAAATAGCAGATATTATTATACAGCATCGTCTAACATAACAAGGTAATTCGGCTCTGATTTCTCTAGAAAAAAAAATAAGAATAGTCTGCTTTGACTTCTTTGTAAAATCTCTGGAAAAGTTCGGATTCCTTCTGCCGAAGGAATATGTTCTTTTTTTTTGTGAATCTTTGACATTTCTGCAAACCCATGTTCAGAAACTAATTGACAATTAGCTTTTTTCGGCATTTTCGAGGGTTAACCGCATTATTTGCACTGAAATTATCATGTCTAAATCGGAAATCCCCCAATTATTGCATCGAACCACTTTATTTCGTCACCTTCTACAGAAAGGTTCGGACTGCTCTCCGGGGGAGTGAGTAAATATACGCGTTTTCAGGCCAGGCGCTGACCCCGTGCGCGACTCCAGCGCGCGTGCAATGCCAAAAAGTTCTAGTTAAATGCGGATTTCTTGATGACCGGCTATTTTCGGCTATCCAAAAATTTAAGAGGTGAATTCTTTATGCTTGAGATTGATCATATTCAAAAATCGAGACTGTGTCTGAGTGTGTTCAGTGTTAAAGTGAAGATTTTTCACTAAAATTTCCATTTTTCGCCTTTTTTCAGAGAAAACTTAAAATTTGATAACATATTATTAATCCTCATCCTCGATTTAGTCTTGTCCTTAATTTTCATATAAAACCTATAAGAAAAAGTGATAACGGCAATCGCGGTCAGAAGGCGTTCCGAGCCCCGCGCGCTCCCGTGAAAAACCCTAAGCATCGCTCGTCTACCTGAGCATCAACTTCTTCCTCCATGTCATCAGGATCAAGAGACTCCATCGCGTCGTCCATCAGTTCGTCAATGATGCCCATCTTCATCATTTCCTTGCTCATCGCCGTCATTGTCTTTTGAAGCTCTGGCAGTTTTACGAGTCTGCTCATTGATTGCATCACTTGCGTGGATTTTTCGACCGCGCCGGTCATTCGGATTGTTGCTGCTTGCGTTCGCATATTCATCTTGAAAGCAAATCAAAATCGTGAAGCCAAAAAACAGTGAGTTCTTACCATAACCGAGTTTATTTGAGCCTTCGAAGCATGCAGTCTTGAAACGGCCTTTTGTGAGTTGACCAATTCCTTGGCCAGAATTTTGCACACATCAATGTCGTTTTTCTTGGCGTGCTTTTTAATTTCTGCCTTAGTTTTTTGCTGCTCGCGCTCAATTTGAAGAATCTGCCGATCGATCGCTCTCATTTCTTTTCTCAGCCCGGAGGACATTTCGTTCACCATCTTTTTTGGGTCTACTTTTGTTGAACCAAAGAGTCCCATGATAAAGATGATGGTCAATTTTTGACTCTAGGATTTAAAGTTATAAAATAGAGGTCGTTTTTTGTTTGTTGAACGAATATAAACGGTCAGGGAAACTCAAGATTGTTGTTTTTTGGAAGCGAATGGTTAACCCGTTAACAAGGGCGTGCAGGTTTGACCTGCACGCGTGGAAATGGGTAGCCAATCACAACCTCGGATCCTTGATTTCACTCAATCACCGACAGGCAAAAGCGTAGGCGAAATCGACCACCCTGTTAACGGGTTAAATAGGTAGTATTGCGATAGTTTTTTTCATTGGGCACTACTAGTAGAAACGGATAGTAAATGATGGATAAGGCAGTTTTTGCTTATTTTTTCTTATATAAACACATTTTCTTTTAATAAAATTGCTGAAATTGTCCACCCGCAACAGAAAATAACGAAGATACGAGCAAAGAAGTAGGTATATATGTATAAAGTCATGAAATACTGTAACAGGTAAAGTGAGCGTTACTTTCTTACAGTACGTGAAAGGTTGAAAAGTTCGGATTTTCTTCAATTTTGTGAAATTCGTTAGCCGAAGAGCTTTTGTTTTCTTTTGAATTCTTCGCGTCTGAGACGGGCGTTTTCTGCTTCTTGCTTTTTCGCCTAAAAAGAATGAAAAACGGAACAGAAAAAGTGGAAACCTACCTCTAATTCTTGACGAATTTCATCTGTGATTTTCGATTCTTGTTCAAACGCGGCCACTTTTGCCTGGAAGAAGTTCTTGGCTCCACTGACGCCCTAAAATCTCTCATTTGAACTCTGAGTTTTGGAAATAAAAACGTACAGAAGACGATACGTCAATTTCAGCGAGCTTTGCAAGTTTGTCCAGGCCTGAGTCATTTTCAAGTTCTCCTTCCTCCTGTTTTCTTTATCGCGAGAGTCATCAAAAGTCAATAGTCAAGGTAGGATTTGCTAGGATGACCCCCTTCCCTGAAGATCATCAAAAACTCCCTGAAGCTGATTTTGCCGTCTTTGTCGTCATCAACAAGAGCGATCATGTCCTTCACGGCCCTGTGAGTTTGCGGCTCGCCAAGGCCCTCCATCAGCTTTTTCAGCTCTTCAATATTCAGCGCGTTGTCTTTGTCTTGGTCAAATTGCTCAAATTCAGCGATAACTACATGTTTCAATTTTGATATGATAATGAAACTCTGAGCTCGACCCGGCAACCTGTGTAGAAATCCTGAGAAGTGCTTTAAAACCAACAGGGGTTGCAAAGGGCACTCGGCCATTTAATAAAGCCTGATTAAAATACTTACTAAGGCGTTTTACACAGGTTTCCGAGCGAGAGCAGCCTCTGAGGAAACTGGTGTAAATTATAAATGTATTATCCGCTCCTTGAACTTCGATTCAAGGCTTCTGATCTTCTTTAGTGGAAACTCTTTGAATTCTAAAAAATCACCATTAAAAAACGATTCCCCTCTCCATCGATTTACCTGCGTAAACACTTCTGTAATTGCAGCTGAGCTTTGCGCCCAAGTCCTTCTCCCCAGACTTGTCTTCATTTAGCTGACATCGTCTCGCCAGCTTCGCAGCCAGTTCGTTTGACATTCTAGCGAAGAAGGAAAAATAAAAATAACGGAATGTATCTCTCTCTTTCTCAAAAAAAAATGAAAAATACCACCGGCCTTGTGAAAGACGTTTTTGAGATAGAAAAGCTGATTACGCCTTTGGCCCAGAGCCCGTAATTAGCGTTTCTTTCTCATGACAAAGCTCCTCCCAAATCCTGCCGTGTTTTCTAACAAGAATGCTCACTCCCTCTTAATAAATAAGCCGGCTAGGTAGCAAAAAAAAGCTGAGCGGATCTCTAGTCTACAGTTGATTTGAGGCACTATCTATTCATTGTTTTTCTTGTTGATTGAACATAGTTCAGAATCAATCAGCCAAAAAACAAACGATTCAAACTTCAGTATAACTCTGGGCTCGGTTACCTGTGTAGAACCCTGAGTCAGGGTCTTGAAAGATGGTTTAAATGAAAATCTCTTTCATGACCCTGACTCAGGTTTGAACACAGGCTCCCGATCCCAGAACTGGGCTCAAGTGCAAGAATTTCTTTCTTTTTTATATCGTATTCAAATTTGGAAAATATTGGAACAGTTGGCTAGTGATCAGCAACAAGTAAAAACGCAGCGTTTAAATTGTTTGATTAAATTTAATCGTCATTTTCGTCGTCGTCTTCGAGCCACTCTTTCCAGGCAGAATCGCGATTTTCAATTTCCGCTTGAGTTTCTTCGATGCGATAGTCTGTGACGCCATCCCAGCGCTTCACTTGAAGAGTTCTTCCTCGGAAGAGTCGTTTGTCGAGGCCGTCGATGGCGCGATCGGCATCTTCGGCAGAGTTGAAGGCGACTGAGCAGACGCCGTTTGGGTGACCATCGAACATGTTTACTTTCTAGAAAGAAATGAAAAAGGGGGACAAAAGGAGGGTGATATAGCCTGGATATCCTGACAAAACGGTCTTACCTTTGGATTGCCAAAGCCACTACAAGCAGTTCTGAGCTCATCTTGAACTTTTAGAATGATCGTTGGATCCCGCGCCACTTCTTCAACTGTGAAGCAATTTGAGAACACCACGACCTTAAAAACTAACATAAGCAATCCACATCACTTATAAACTCTACCTTTTCATATCTTGCTCTTTTAGACTTGACATCTTCGGCTCCTGAAGTGAGACCCATTCCTCCCCAGCCGAGAAGCTTGTTTTTCGACTTTTTGGCCGCGATTTTTTCTTTCTTATTCATTCCTTTTTTCTTCTTCGTCTTGTCAAACTTGCCTTTCATCTCAAACTTCGCTAGTTCGACCTTGATCTTGCTTCCTTCAAACTCTTCTTCGTCCAAAATCTGCAGCGCCAAATCGACCGATTCTGGTGCCAAATAATGTGCCAATCCGTCGCCCTTGAATTTGCCATTTTCGTCCGTGTATAATTTTACTTTTGGCTTTTCCGTTTTTTCGCATTGTTTCAGCAAGCCGCACTTTTTCATCAAATTAATAAACTTCTCTATTGTGATCGTTTTCGGCAAATTTGAAACATAAACTGCGCTAATTTGCGTTTCCTCGGCATCAAACCATTCCGCCTTTTTGCGTTTTGTCGATGTTTTTATCAAGCCTTCTTTTTCGACCTTTGGCGCTTTTGGCTTCTTGGGGTGCACCCATTCCATCTTTTGAGGATCGTAGACTTTCCCACTTTCAAGATCAGTATAGATTTGCGTCACTGGATCGTAAGACATGCCAGCTTCAGTTACCCAGAGCTTTTTCATTTCGTTCCAGAAGAAGACTTGCCCGTTTTCGTCTGTGAAAGTTGATGCCTGTCCGTTTGATTCTGATTTGGGAGACATAAACGACGACATCATCAAAAGACTATTAACAATAGTGGCCCCGGTGAAATTATGAAGCAGGGTCTTGCTTTGAATCAGATTAATTGACGGATAGAGAATTTTTAAACCGAGATTTTAAAGGATAGTTGGAGAGATGTGGACTTTGCCACGGAAAAAATTTAATAGATTATTTCACAAGCGATTTACATTCACGGAGTGGAATGGAGTCAACAATAGTCAAATTCAATTAATCTGATTAGAAATCATAAATGAAGTTTAGTAAACGACGTTTATGGTTAGAATGCTTGGCTCTAGAAAAAAGGGAACGATTAGTGGGCAAATGGGAATTTCTGATTGGCTCGATCAATGAGAATTGATTTCTGATTGGCTGATTCCCTTAAATCTGTCTTCCCTTTCCTAGTGGTTTTCCATCAGCCAGCCATCTCAAGTTTTCAATGTCATACGTATACTTTACTCCTTCATGATCAAAGCCATTTTCTGGCAGCTGATTGCCTTTTTCGTCAAAGTAGTTTTTCTTCTCGTCGTCCCAACTGTACTTTGTCCCGTCTGGCGCTTGAATCGGCTCTCGCATCGTGCCATAAGTAGCTTGGTACTGCGCTAGAAAGTCTTGAGTGACTTTTGGAAACCAGGCTTTTGGACTTCGTCCCATTGGTAAACCGTCCCGTCTTCGTCGCGTTTTTCTTTGATCTTTTCTCCTAATTTCGGGTCAAATCAAACATTCTCACTTTTCAAGCAACCTACAGTTACTGTAGCTCCTACAGTATTTTCTATTGGACCCAGACTTGGGCCAGTTCTGGTTTTTCGTTCTGGAGCTCGATTTGACGCTGGAAATCGGCGTATTCGTCTTCTGTTGGAATCGCCATTATCTTGATATTTCTCGATCAAAAAGGAAAAAATAGAGGAAAAGCTCAGCGCAAGCGACCAATCAGCGCGCGAGTTTAAAATGATGTGGCGCTGAGATAGTGATTCTCTCAGAAAGGCGAAATGAGGGCGAAATTATAAAAAGGAGAGAAAACTCAAAAACGGAAATAAATAATAGGCAAATGTGTTCAAACTGAGTGAACTGTCATTGTTATCAACATTTATACTGTCATTTCGACGTATATTTATAAAAAAAAGGATAAAATGAAACTTTAAAACTTCTATAATTCTATGATATCCGAAGGTTCAGGTGTACCTAAAGCTATTTGTCTGAATAAAATTAAATGTAAACAATGAAAAAGTAACATTTCTTCATTCCGTACTCAGAAATTCAGAAATCCGGAAAAATGTCAGATTCGGACGATCTCGTTTGCTTATCAAAACGCCCTGGGCTTCCAAACCTATGGGAATGTCGAAAAATCATCAAAAACTACATCGAAGTAGCTATCGGCCGAGGAGAACAACCAACATTCGATGGAGTTCTCACGGTAATTTTATTTTCCTCTTATTTTTTTGATTCGTTTTCTTGAATCCAGCACCTGGGTCGAATCTACGACGGAGATATCAAGGGAGACGAAAAGTTATTGAAAAAACTGCAGGACAAATACGACAAGTTAGCCGAAGAACTTGCGAAGAACAGCGCTGTCTTGAAAGCTTCGAAGCCGCTGGACAGAAATGGAAATCTGACCGAGGCGGATTTGTGCACGCTTGAAGAGAAAGAATGGTTGAACGACGCGATCATCAACGAGTATTTGAAACTGGTCGTCAAGAATCAAAAAGCTACCGGGATACGAAATTTTTCCTCTTAGCCGATGTTTAATTTTCGATAAAGTCGACTTTTTCGACCAAAGGTTGTTTTTTGTCTTTGAAATCCCTGCAAATAGAAGATGGCAAGTTCGTCGTGCTATCATCCTTTTTCGCTGACAGCCTTATGCGCGGCAATGTAGAAAGAGTCCCAGGTACTCCGCTACTACGAAACGTCTCTTACAGTAATTTTTCTGTAGATCTAACGAACAAAGACGTCTTTATCCCGATCAACTTGAACTCCCACTGGACCCTGGCTTTGGCGATGTATCGGGAAACGACGATTTCTTACTTCAACTCAATGGACTGCCTTCTCGAAACAGAGGACTACAATATGATCAGAAAACTCGCCGAATTCTTCGAGAATAACTACCCGCCAGGCGACAACTCGAGGCTCACAAAGTGGCGCATTCGAAACAACACAAACATTCAAGCACAACAAAACTCGGACGACTGCGGCGTCTTTGGTAAAATACGATTTCATACGAATTTTTCTATCGTTGTTTTCTAGTGCTTGCCTGGACGAGAGTGATCGTCACTGATCTTCGCTACCTCTACCAAGTCGGAAAGGACCCAAAACAAATGCCAAAGCTGCGAAAAATCTTCCAGCAGGAATTGAAAGAAAATCAACTGATGAAGATGCCCTTCTTCGAAACTTTCCAGGAAAACTTCAGAAATGCAATTAAACGGAAGCCAGACACGAGCAGGCCAGAAAACACGGAGCCAAGGACTCTCAGGCGGCGACGACACACTCGCATTCTCTAGCGCAACAGCTCTCGGTTTGCTTTAGAAAAGAGGCTGAATTGACGAAGTTTTTATAGGGGCAATAATTCTGAAGACGGAGCCTCTGTACATTTTTAAGCGTATTGTATCGACTGCCACTTATCTTCACATTTTTATGAGGACATTGTTAAAAAGATCGGGGACCCGCCATAGGACTCGTTTTTTTGGTGAATTCTCGACCTTTTTTCATCATTAAGTGTTCATCATTTTTAATGCTCGAAATGCTCACTTGTAGGCTGCTTTTGATTGTTGAATTTTCAGAATGGCGTCCTTGACGGAACGAAATCAGGACGCAACAGTCTACGTTGGTGGACTGGATGAGAAAGTTACAGAGCATTTACTCGCAGAGTTGTTCATTCAGGGTTCGTTTTGATGTTTTGAAACGTCTTCTTGATCATTTTCTAGTTGGGCCAGTCGTCAACTGTCACATGCCAAAAGATAGAGTCACTCAAACTCATCAAGGATACGGCTTTGTCGAATTTCTTTCAGAAGAGGACGCAGATTACGCCATCAAAATTTTAAACATGATTAAGCTATTTGGAAAACCCGGTAAGACCGTCTTCTTTGCTTGAATTTCATCCCTTCCTAGTTCGAGTGAATAAAGCGTCATCGCACCAGAAGAATTTGGATGTTGGAGCCAACTTGTTTATCGGAAACTTGGACCCAGAAATCGACGAAAAATTGCTCTACGATACCTTTTCCGCCTTCGGTGTCATTTTACAGACGCCCAAGATTATGAGAGATCCCGACACTGGCAACAGCAAAGGTGACAATTTTCTGCCGTATTTTCTTTGGATATAAATCTGTTTTAGGATTCGCTTTCATCAATTATTCTTCATTCGAGGCTGCCGACGCTGCGCTAGAAGCGATGAACGGACAATACCTCTGCAATAGACCCATTACAATCAGGTTCGACGTTCCAAAAACAGACACATTCATCATTATTCACAAAGCCACGTCGCATTAGTCCGGCGCCGGGTCCACCACCTTCTACCGTACTTTTAACATTTTCCTAATTTAGCTTCGCGTTTAAAAAGGATGGAAAGGGAGAGCGACACGGTTCTGCTGCAGAGAGACTTTTGGCTGCTCAAAATCCGATGGCGACCAACGATCGACCGCACACGTAAGTTCATCCCTTCTCGACTTTCTTATAAAATGTACTAGGATGTTCGCCGATGGAGTTGGTGGAAACGCACCACCAATGGGCGGCACTGGCGGAGGAGGAATGCCAGCACCGATGGGTGGTGCTGGAGGACCGGCTCCAATGGGAGGTGGAGGCATGTTCCCGCCACAAGGTGGCATGCAGCAGGTGCCGCCATGGATGATGGGTCAGCGAATGCCTGGAGCGAGAGCGCCCGCCCCAATGGGAGCTCCTATGGGCGGCCCACCCGGCATGAGACCGCCGATGCCTGGCTTTGCGCCGCCACCAAGACCGCCGAGTTACAACCCCGTGCCGGGCATCACAAACCAAAGCGGCGCGTTCTAGATCTTGACTGTTTAACTTACTGTACTGCCACTTGTCAAAAATCTCTTATTAGGTTAATTTAACCAATGTTGATCATCATCGTTGAAAATTCTTATCTTTTTCAGGCAATATGTAATCGGGCTCTTAATTTGGTCAAAAACGATGGTTCACCTCCCGTTTTTTCATCTTATTGCACTTTCTCACGCTTTTGGGCAAGATCGAAAAGCTGAGATAGAAAAGTACCAGACGCTGGAAGATGCCGTTCTCCCTGAGTACATTTTCCTCCGTGAAAAATCATCCGGTAAAGACCACGAAACAATCTTCTTCTTTCATTTATCCCCTTCCTCTAGACATAGGCGAGTCCCGTCGACTAACAGCCTATGACGAACACGGAAAATCAATGTGGGATTTTCCGATCGCCAACAATATCTTCATGTACTCGCAGACCTTTGAAAATGACGATAACACTGATGGTCTTAGACACAAGTACATCGAAGGGTTGTTTTACAACAAAGAAGGGAAAATAACAAAAGTTCATTTTCACGAAGACTCGGAATTCGATGAATTGGAAGATTTGGATCATATTCTGTCCATTGAAAACAATACTGTTGAATCTTACAGGTGAGTTTTTGCTTCATTCGATTTTCAAGAGCCATTTCTAGTGACTGCCAAAAAGGAGTGCCCTGCGTTGTTGTTTTCAAAGAACAGTTGATGTACAAAATCGACGCTAGAGACGGAACCTTCGTGCAGTATCTTGTCAAGGGAAAGCCCACCTTTCCTTCGTCAGAATTCGCTTCATATCTGACCAAAGACCCGTCGAAGCACCCAGAGCAATATCTCCTGATTGGTACTCAATCCGTCGTGACCAAGCACATCTGGGACGACAACAGGCAAAATACCATCGCGATCATAGAAGAACAGTCGGACTTTGAGTTCCGAAGCGACTACCGAGGGAAACACATGTACTCCTTTGAAGTCGACCAGTTCATCCGAAGAAGCGGCGAAACTGTCTGTACCTTTCGAGGTTACTCTGACAAGCAGCGAAAAGTAAAAATGTGGAATGAAATCGAAGAAATTGGCAGCGAAATCAGCCTCGGTTGGAAAGTCTTTCCCTCTTCTCGACTTGCTGATTCTAGCGCTAAGAATCTATTCCACACGGCGAAATTTGAAACTGGAGATTTGAAGAGCATCAGCGACAATAAAATTTTTCGAACGAGTTGACCGTTTATGATGGCGCTCACGAAACGTCGCTAGAAACATACTATCCTTTGATGAAAGCGCTCTCAGAAAAATCTCACATCAAAGAACTCCCAAATTCCTCTCAGAATCCAGAGTCTCAGAATTTGCTTCCTCACGTGAAAGAGGAACAAAGCATTTTGAAAGAAATAGAAGATCATTCAATGGATCAAGACAATCATTGGCTGAAAGACCCTTCTCTAGAGGGTGATAACCTGTCGAACTCGGAAATAGAGCCAGGAATGGAAGTCGAAGTTGTCGACGACTGGAACATGGCAATAACCTTGACGCTCATCACCATCATCGGTATTGGCTCACTCTGCTACATCGGCAATAAACGACATCGTGATTTCTGGCGATATTTGAAATTCACAGTAGTTTACGGACTCATGCGTGATTTCTTCGTCCACATCAAATCGTTCAACAAAGTCCGAAAGCGACGAATTTCTGCATCAAACGAAACTTCGATCAAAATAGCAGAAGACTTGATGGTGCCAGACTTGTATCATGAAATGCCGGGAAAAGAGTTTGAGAAACTCATGCGAGACTTGGACGAGAAGAACGAGGAGCTAGAACGGCTGCGAAGACAGAGCGACTCAGTAAGTACGAATTTTGAGTCAAAGTATGAACGAGAATTCGAAACAAAAAATGTTCTTGGAAAAGGAGGCTTCGGTGTCGTCTTTGAAGCGTTGAATAAAAATGATAAAAGCAACTACGCGATCAAACGAATTGAACTTCCAAGGTGTGCGACTGGAGTTTCAAAAGAAAGGATTGAGAGAGAGTTCAAAGCGCTGATGGTTCTCAGGAACAAAGATCTAAATACAAGACATTTCATTGACTACTACCAGTGCTGGCAGGAGAAAAACGTCCCCAAAGGTACTAGAGCTTCCTCCACCCATATTTATTCTTATCAGACTGGGTCGCCGATCACGATCGACAATTCAAGTCCCAACTGAGCAATTACGACAGCTTATCAGTCCTCGACAAGTCTGAAAGCCGCATCGAGGATCAAATATCAGAACAGCTCACAAGATCAGCCCAGAATTCCGTCGCATCGGGGCTCAAGGTATGAATTAATTGTGATAATTGATCGAAAATTACGCTTATTTTAGCTTGATTTTTCCATGAACGAGGATGTTGTCTGGGAGGGCGATTCAGACGGCTCTTGGGGAAACGATTCGAATTTGTCGGCCTCGGATACTTCTGATACTCACGATGGAAACTGTGAAAGAAACAAGTCTTCCAAAACGTCCGACTCTGGTCTATTCATGTTCAAGACTGACAGATCAAATTCGATTCGCCACAGAAAATTGACAGAAATCCAGAGGTAAGGTCGGACGAATAAAACACATTCAAGTCAATAAAAACTAGAACTGAATCGACACAGTCAAACGCTTCAAGCTCGATTGTTTTCGAAAGTGGAGATGGTTCAATCCAAATTGCTTCGGAAAGTCAATATACTGAAGATTCACCTGAAGAACTCTCGGATTCTATTAGCTTGGCGAATGTGAATTACAATCACGATACAGGAACGGGATGAGTCTTCCTTGATTTCAATATTTTTTCTTGCTTCTTCTATGATCTTATCCACTCTTAGTCGACTTTCTCTACATTCAACTGCAACTCTGCCGCCGGGATACTCTTAAACATGAGCTCAAAAAGCGCGAGCGTGTGGATCCAAGAAAGAGTCTTAAAATTTTCGAAGAGATTTGTCTTGGCGTTCAAGTTTTACACGATAACGAAATGATTCACAGAGATCTGAAGCCGGCGAATATCCTTTTTTCTCTCGACAAGGGTGCCATTAAAATTGGCGACTTGGGTCTTGTCGTTATGAAAGGTAAAGGACGAGAAATTTGAAAAAACCCCACATATAATTTTCAGACCAGAAGAAAGAAAACAATAAAGCATCAGCCATCACCCATGTAAATTCAATCCTCGAAGGATCAATTCATACTGGAGGCATTGGTACGCGCTTATATATGGCCCCAGAATTGCGCGAAGGACTACCCTACTCATACCCCATTGACATTTATGCTCTGGGAGTGATTTTGCTCGAACTATTCGAGATTTTTTCAACACAACAAGAAAGAGTCACCGTGATTCTAAGAGCATCAGAAGGAATACTGCCACTTTCGATTCGAGACAACTATTCAGGTAAAGAAGCAGTGTCAAGGCTTAGAAAACTGTATCTTGTAGACGTTGCTGCACTAATTTTAAACATGCTCGATGATGAACCCCTTCAACGTCCCAAAATCGCCCAGATCCTTGGCCGGTGCCAAGAACTCCAACTGAATTTTATATAAATTATAAAATTTATTCTTCCTAGCCACTTTTATGCACTAGCTAAACAGCTTCTCTATATTTTATTTAAAAACTCATATAAACGAACTAATTGCAACTTCTACATATTGGCCCCTTTTCCATTCCGTTTATTATTGTTCTTTTTTTCGCTCGTCTATAAAATATTCAAAGTCTTTTATTCAATTTTTCTGTTAATGATTTTTCTCCTTATTCAAAGTTCATTGATACTCCCTCCTCACCATTTTTCTGACAGATATAAGTTTAATATAGAATTCTTCGTCACTCTTTTATTTTTAGATAATTGATCATTTACATGCGCTATCTGTATATGTAGATGAATATTTTCACGCGTCAGTGCGTCAAGATCACAATCCAGCTCGATTTTTTTATTTAAAAAAGTAAAAATGAAGAGAAAGTTGGACGACGAAATCGTGACATTCGACTTGTGCGTTATTGGCAGCTCCACCAAATGCTCCGTTCAAAAGAACGATCTGACTACAGACTGGCTTTTGGGCAAAATTGAAGAGATTACTTCGAAAAATGATCATCGACTAGTTCCGTCGATGCAGTTCATTTCCATTTGGGTGAGCTTTCAAAAGAGCCCCTGTTTAATTCTCGTTTTTAGGATGGAAACGATCTCCTGCGGCCGTCATTTCAAATTCTTGACGATTTGGACTCTTCGAAGGACACAAGTCTTTGTAAGCGAGGGTTCAAGTCTGGAATGCGCATTGAAGTCCTTCCACATGCGCCGCCGTGTGATATTACTGAAGAAGAAGAGCTAGATTTCGTAGAACTGCTTCTGAGCAAAGATTTCTTCCGTGCTCTCCGAGACCAATTTTTAAGGTCAGTTGCGCACGTCTTTTCAGCACTCATAGTTGATTTCAGGACCCGCTGGGACCGACAAATCCAGAACAATATCATGATTTCGCAAGAGTCTAAAGAACACGGCCGCTACTTTATATCTGGACCGAAAAGTGTTTTCGATCACCCAGAGCTGATTGACCAAAAATTCCTTGGACAAAGAATTCCGCTTGGAGATCGGCATCTTATGCGTTCCTTCATCGCTGGGAACTCAAGAAAAACTCCAGAAGCAAAATATTACTTCGAAGGTAAATAATAGACTCTAAGTTATTCCGATTATTCATAATTTGCTAATTAGATGATCTTTCCTTTATCAAACAATTGATGCTTGACGATGGTTTTACGCTCAAAGAGTGGAACGATGTCGTTGACACAGCGCCAGAAAAAATCTTCTACGATCGATTCAACGATCATACTCTCATTGAATAACAATGAAATCCTTCTCGACGAGAAGTTCTCGTTTGAATTCGTTGAACCGCCACCTCTTCTTACTGCTTCTTTTCCCCTTGTCCTTCAACTTACTTGTTTATGTCTTCAAGCAAAAAATAAAAAAAAACGATATTGATATAACATTTCCTAAACAAAATGTCGATGAAAGTTGCAGGGCGATTCTAGTATAAAAAAATTCTGTTCAGAATTTTGAAAGCTCGATTAGCATGTCGGGTTATGGCCACAAGGTGCAGAAGGTGATGGTTCAACCCATCAACCTTGTTTTCCGATTTTTCCAGAAGAAGATCCGCGTCCAGGTATTTCAGTCCGAACTTAGTTGATTTTACTTACGATTTCCCAATAGATCTGGCTCTACGATGTCGTCAACCTTCGTCTTGAAGGGGTCATCGTTGGATTTGACGAATACATGAACCTCGTCCTCGATGACGTCGAAGAAATGCACGTCAAGGTACACCCAAATTACCAAACAACAGTCATTAACGGTTTAATTTCAGACTCACTTCAAGCGAAACGTCGGACGAATCCTCCTCAAGGGCGACAACATCACCTTGATCCAGCAGGCGCCCCAATAACTTCATCGTTAGAACTCGCCTTGTTTGTATCTGTAGCTGCCTTCCTCAATCGAACTCTCATACTGTCTCATTGATTCACTGTAGTTTGAAGGCCGACGTAGCCTTCAAATGGCAGTTCATGACTGTTACTATTTCTATTGAGTAAAACGCAAGCTACCTAAAATTTTAAATTTGAATTGTCATTTTTTCAGAGATCAGGTGAAATCGTAAAAAGCGAACATGTGACTTATATATTTTTAAACTAGATAAACACACCACCTCGCAAGCGGGCCTCTGTAAGGGATTACTCAACGCTTTAACTGGCAACCGAAATTTTAATTAGTAAACATACGACTTTGAATTTTGAACTTGTTGGTGAACCCTAAAAAGATCAATATCTCTCCATCATCATGCCCAGTATAGATGATCCCGAGGCGCTGAGCGCCGCTGTAGCTGGAATGGAAGATGATCCAGGTAAAGAATGAAGAATAACCAGTATCTATTCTGTTTTAGAGCTTATGGCAGCTTATGCAGAAGCGCAGGCAGAATTGGCAAACATGATGCCGAAGAGTAAGAAAAAGAAGAAGAAAAAGAATAAAAAGGGGCAGCTAGGAGCGGAAGTTGCCGAGCTCGAAAACCTAATAAAACAACTGGAAGGAGCTGATGATATCGTCGCTGCTGATGCCGCTCTCGAAGCGCTTAAAATGTCCGAGCCAAAGAAGAAAAGCAAGAAAAAGAAGAAGCAACAGCTCGAGCCAGAAATGCCCACAGAAGAAGAACTACTCAATGCTGAGGACTTGCAGGATCTACCTCAAGAAGTGCTGGACGAACTTCGAAACTATGAACCGACGGAGGAAGAAATTGCAGCCGAGTTTGAACGACTCAAGGCGGAGAAAGAACAAAAGAAGAAGAAAAAAATGAAAAAGAAGAAAGAAGAGCAACTTTTCGATCTTGGTGTGGACGATGAGACTGGCGAAGCTCTTCGCATGGACGATCCTGAGCTTCTCAGAGAACTAATCGATCAGGAAGAGGATCCAATGATGAAGAAGCACCTTCAGAAGCTCTTGAAAAAGACGAAAAAGAAAAAGATCAAGAAAGAAAAGGTCGAAAATCGCGACATCGGCGAATTCGACGATCGAGCCTTTCACGATTCAGGCGATTTCGGCTGGAGCCAGAAAGAAATCGCCAAGAAAGTTTACGTCCCCACTGCAGATGAAAATGTCGATGCGATGGACACTTCCGAGCTTCATGAAACAGAAGCATTAATCCCAGGAACAGAAGACTTTGGCCCAGCGCTTCCAGAAACTGGAATCGCTCCTCGACCCGAAGCTGGTGCGATTCCTGGCGGTTCAAAACTCAAGCCCGTCCTTGATGATGAAGAAGTTGAAAAACGTCTTCGCCAAAAGGCGATGGAGAAAGCCATCCAAGAGCGACTGGACAAGCGAATGATGCGGGCAAAGAAAATCGAGGTAAAAATGGCGAAGTGGATTTCGACGCAGCGTTCTCTCAAAGACGAAGCGAAGCAGCTCACGGAAGATCGCATTAAGCGCGCCGAAGTGATCAATGAAATCATCGCTCCCGGCGTCGCGAAGAAAAACGAAGAAGAAATCGCGAATCGAAAAGACATCGTCAGTCAAATTCGTGAGCGCCTGCGAAAGGAAATCACCGATGAAGTCCGCAAAGAAATCGAAGATGAAGAAGATCGAATCCAACGAAAATATGAAAAAGCTCCGGAAGCACCAAAGGTGTCGGCAGCGGTGATGGACGCCATCCAGATGTCGGACGCTTGGGAGTCTTTCTGGCGACGATACAAAAGTCAGTTGCAAGACTGGAAGCAGTGGAGCGACGAGCAAGAAGAGTATCACAAGCAAGCAGCTGGTTGGTACTTCACCCAAGGTTTTATTCAGTCGCAAGTGGCGAACAATGTCCCTGCCGCGCCCGACGAAGATCCAAACAACGCGGTTGCGGACCCCGATGTGGAGCAAGCTGGTCCTCTGCTCCCGGGCCAAACCTCGGTGGAAGAAGAAAAACCGCGAGAAAACCCGGATGATCCACCGCCACCACCAACTCATCGCCCGGAAGACGAAGCTGATGACGAGGAGGAGGCAAAACTCGACGAATTCCAGCGAAAACTCAGGCGAAGAAAGGAGAAAAAGCTTGAAAAATACGAAGCTCTTTTGAACGACCCAATCTTCTCCGGAAAAAAAGGAAGCGAAGATGATGCCCTGGGGAGCGAAGGACGGCGAAGTGCAAATGGAACCCGGTACCGCTGTTTCTACTGGCATCGATGTCGCTCCATCGGGCGCTACTTTTGTTCCCAAGAAAGCGGCAATGAACGAAACTGAAAAGCAGAAGTTCATGCGCATGCAAAGAATGCTCAACACTGTCCGTGGCCCCCGTGCAATCCAGTCCTCCACAGTGGGAACCAACTTCTTGCCGACCCAGGACGACGCCCTCCAATTCATCAAACTCGAAAGATTCCGTCGAGATCGGCATCGTTTTAAATCATCGGATCTTGATTCGGACGAGACTGAATCGGAGGATGAAAGCGCGGAGAAACGGCAGCGTGGAAGTCGTCTTCCTCCATGGATGGCAAAGGCGACGGAAACTATGGACCCAAAAACGCTGACGACAACTGTGATGAACGCTTCGGCGACGAACATCAACCAGCCGGGAGAAATGATCAATCCCGCGGGAGAGGAGGTCCAAATTTCATCGTCTTCGGAGTCGGAAGAAGATGAGGAACGCGCTGAAAGGCGTCGAGCGATGGCGGCAAAATTTAATCCGAACGCCATCTATGGAGAATCGACAATCTCTGCCGCTCCAGACATCAAAAAACCTGCTGCGAGAAAGAGCGAAAGAGTAAAAGAATGGAGCATGTATGGAACCGCCGCAAATGCTCAGGATAGCGACATAAGAGCAGAAGAGGGCGACACCTTTTCTTTCGACTTTTCTGCGAAACCAAATGAAGAAACAAGCACGGAAGCAACCATCGCAGCGAAAAAGAAGCTCTTCGGTCGAAAGGGCGAGACTCCAAAATATCTTCCAGAAGAAGGTGGACCCGGCCAGGGTGTAGGCATTCACAAAGAAGGTCCTCTCAAGGGTCTTCCCAAACATTGGCAACAGCAAACTGGTCTTCGCCAGCGACCCAGGGAAACTTACGAGCAGCAATTTGTAGAAGTCTCTGAAGATCACCTGCCGCCAACTCAACGGTGTGACTCTCAGCTTGTTTGATATATTTTTACTATTTTTTTTTTCAGAGAACTTCCTGAATTCGTCCAGGATCTTCCTGATGAAAACGCAGTGTTGGATGCGGCGAACATGGCTGTCCGCGACTACCAGAAGCAACAACTGTATCAGCAATCTGGAAAGACAAAAATGGAGCAATACTTGAAGAGACGTGCTGAAGATACGCGTTTCGCTGTTGAAGGTGTCAAGAAACCAGATAAGAAAGAGGTGAATCGCACTTTTCAATCATTGAATCAACCAAAAATTAAATTTAGGAGGATAATGTCGTGCTCGAAGAAGAAAACCTCGAGTTTGATCCCTCCGCGTTCTTTGGCGATACAGGAACTGGCGGTCTCTTCTCAGGCACAAAAGACACCGTTGCCAAAAAGGATGAAAAGCCTAAGCGCTCGAAATATGCAGGTGGCTTCGGCTCCACCTGGAAAAAGAAGAAGGAAGAGACGAAAAAGATCGAACTCAATCTTAATTCTGAAGCTGCGCAAGCTCTTGCTGGAGAAGAGGAGAAAAAAGAAGAAAAAACGGAGAAGGAAAAAGAAGATCTTCCATCATTCCTCAAAGAGCCCGTCTTCGAAAAGGTAAGAACGACTTTTCCTTCGTGATGAACTAAATCCACTTTTCAGGACGATTCAGAGGAGTTCGGCTGGGGTGAAGGAAACCAAAATCGACGAAAAGGCACAAAAGCCAAAAAGCGAAAAGACGTCGACGGAGAAGGTTGTTTTTCAAATGATAACCAGTTGGTAGAATTTATTTTGTAGTTCTTGGGGAAGAGAAGAAAAAGAAGAAATCCAAGAAATTCGATGCGTCCTGGATGAAACGAGTCGGAGAAGACCCCGACAAGCCGCTGAAGGAACAGTCCTACGATGTTGATGAGTCCGAACTTCGGACATATGATTCGGCGAACAAGAAGGTAAGATCTGCAAATTTTGTACTCGAGTTGATTTGTTTCACTCAGGCGGAGTCGGAGACAACTAGACAAGACGCTGGCGATCGAGAAGATCGAGATTGGGGAGCTTGGAAGCCGCGTAGCAGACAAGTCAAAGTTCCTGAAGAAAAAGAGAAACAGGTAAATTAACCTTGATTTGGAATCATGCTCATGACTTTTTACTCACTAGGTCCGAAAGTACAAGGAAGGAGAAATCTCCGAACTTCACAAAAAGCTACTGGATCCTGCTCGATTTGACTATGACCCGGACTTTGCGCGTGCTGGCTCACTCCAGTTCATGCATCCGCTCCAGTGCTCCAAGGTCCTCGGCCGTCCATATCCTGAAGATTTAGCTTCAAAGGGACAGGTCGCTTTTGATGATGACATCGTCGCATACCGGGAGCCCAAGGCATTCGTCGATCCCGCTGAACTTGGTCCTGAAGCACCCCCAGATGGGGCGATTTTCTGGGGCATTCCTGAAGAGGTAATTTTTCTCACTTTCTTACATCGTCTATCCCCTTTATCAGGTAGAAACTGCGCCTCGATTGGTTGTTCTCAAAACTGGAATTCCCGAAAACTGCCCTGGTCCTGAGCCGAGAGGTTGGCTCGACGGCCTCAAACGACGAAAGTGGTACGAGAAGGCGAACCAGCCCGAAATTCGCCCTGTTCATCCAGCGTCCTACTTCAAAAAGGGCGAGCAGCTGCATCAAGACAAGACCTTTGGTGTCTTCTACCATCCCAAGTACTACGGAAAGACGAAGTCGCAGAAGCAACTCGAGGCGCAACAAAGTCAAAGTATGGCTGTCGACGAAGCCCGTGAATCGTTACGCCAGTCGTTCAAAGTCTAATCCTATCTTCTGTTTCTTATTTCTAGTTCCAAATTCCAAAATCATCCATCACCTTTCCCTTGTTCTCTGTTGGTTTCACCATCCTTTCTATTCCAAAGAAGTAGCTTAATTAACGTTTGAAATGACTAGAATTTTTTTCTGTCCAGTCCTGTTCTCAACTGCCCTTATCGTGTGTATTAATCTTGATACTTTCAAGCAGGGAGCTTGTAAATCAACTGGTATTTGCATCACTTGCAATGTAAATTTTACACTTTGACCCTTGTGGTTTATTTAAGCTTTTCTACTTGAAAAAGCTCGTTTTGGAAATAAATTATAGAGATCGAATGTCGGTGTCGGACTTGAGTGAGGCTGAATCAGAATTAGTCTTCGAAAGAACCTCTCCTTCGTCTAAAACACTTCTGTTAGAAAATAAAGAAGAGCGCTTCACAAAAGTATCCCAGTCAGAAAGTCAAGAAGAATGCGGCTGCTCGTGCGACTCTGCTGTTCTGGTGTCGCCGATCATGAGCATTTGCGAGCACTCTCTCGCGCTGGAGAGTCGCTACATGAGAAATCAAGGAAGAGAACACGGCATAAAAATTGTTGAGAATCCTGGTTCCGGCATGAAGAAGCCGCAGCTGATAAATATGATTTTAAACATCACGCAGCGGCAGGGCACGACCCAGAGGCTTCTCAGTCATCTTTACACGAAAAATCTCCTCCCAGATGCAGAAGAGTGCCCTATTGATCGAGAAGAAGTCAGAGAACAATGCCGTCGACTCCTGATCGTGACAATCACAGCGTTTATGAACCCGAATTTAGAGAGAAGCACAGTAATTAAGCGACGAATGGGCATGGCAACCAAAGCACTAAGAGACAAGGTTGGCTTTGAACGATCAGTCAACTTCTCCAACTCGAAAATGATGCTGGTTTTGATCTACGAGGCCTTCATAAAATCTCGATATCATTCCGTGCGAGAAATTTGGATCCTTGACTTGGTGGTTTTATTTATTCATTTGAAGCTATTCGCACGACAGTTTGATAAAAGGTCCATTTCAAAAATCGAGTTAGGCGCTCACGGTCGAGCCCTCATCGTCGAATCCATGATTCAGCCAATACAGGAGGCGTTTGGCAAAGATGTGTGGCTTGAGTTCTTTCTTGGCTTCTACGAGACGCCAATTTATGAAAACCGAGGAATGGGCAACTGCAAATTGAGCAAGGACGATCACGGCGAGTACTTCCTCCTCATCGCGCTCGGATTGGTGCGAGTCGAAGACCTACTGCACTGGCAAACGCGACAACTCATTCAACAATCGAAATTCAGCAAAATCAAGTCGATTTATGGAAAATTCTTGGCGTCGAACATGCATCTCGACTTCGACACGGTTCCAGCGTCGTCTTATTTTTCCGAGCCGCAAGGAGCAGTCGCCAACCGATTAATGGAGTATCTTCTCGATGAGAACTGTATTGCCGACATCAACGAGATGTTCCGTGTGCTGCCCATGCTCCCGGACGAGCTGGAGACATTTGCGCGAATTCTATCCCGAACGTCAGGGATAATTCAAGCTCAGAGCGCCGAAAGAGTCAGAATTCCAAAGAACTTTCTCGTCAAGTATCTCACTGTCTTCCTCGACGCTTCTGTCTTCTCATTCAACTTCTTTTTGATCATGGCGAACTCGCTGATTCCAGCATTCACTTCAAAAGAAACGTCCAATCTATCACTTGCATTTACGATGAAAAGATATTTTTCCACGCTAGCCGAGTATTTCTGCAGGACATTTATCGACGTTCCTATTTCAGAAGAAAGGTAAGATTGTCATACTGTCATTGAAACTGAATAAATCAAGGTACGAGCTTTGGTATGAGCCAATTATCTGGACACTGTGTCTCCAGAACAAAAATATTCCCAATCGAAATATTATGCTTTCAATAGTCAATCATCCTGTGTACAAAATTGGACCTTCCTGGTGCTGCCGAAAGAAATTTCGAGGTTAGAATCAACAATATCTTTTTGTATACAACTTATTAATTCTAGGACGCACCTCGATCAGAGAAAGCACAATTACATGTTTCCAAGTTTGCGAGCGTCTATTTAATTTAAACCCAAATTTCTTCAACTCTTCACTGGCTCTCGGAGAAAACAGCTGCAGCCATTTTCACTCCTTCAGAAGACTCAACGAGCATGACCCGTGGAGTTAGTTGCCGATTCACAGAGAAAAGTTGCACTTTCCAACAAACATATAAATTATATGATATGATATATTACATATTCCATTTGCACTTCAATTCCAATATCGTCGCTAACTTCCGTCCATCAATAATATTTCATGTAGATTCTGTTTCATAAAGCCCTTTTAACTATCATCAAATAAAGTTTCCAACAATTCTAACCTACAAGCAAGCATCTTCAATTATTTATACTAACAGTGTGCCATTTTTGTACATAACATGTTGCCAGAAAAACAACTTATTGAAAATAAATGAACAAGAAATCTTGAAAACGAATTCAAATAAAGTGAATCTGCGAATAACTTTATTTCCAATCTTCGTCCTTATCTTATAGCCTATAAGTAGGTAAACTCGATGAAAAATGAGCTCTTTTTAGAGCTTATAAATCAGGGAATATAATACAGTTTTAGATTCCTCAGAAGCTGGGGATCATTTTGACTATTCATACTTGGGGGTTTTGCTCATGCCCTGAGGGGTTTTGGGCCTTCCAAAGTCCCGAAATTTGGCCAATCTGAGTTAGGGGCTCATAACTTTTCTTCTCCCCACTTCTGGAGAAAGCCCACTATATGAGCTTGTAGAGGAGGCTCTAACGATTCAGAATATGTATAGAAAACCACCGGACACCCCCCATTCTAGAGCCTCTATAAGGCCCGGAAGTTGAGGAAGTCACCGAAAAATCAGTACTTTTTTACGAAAATGGAGTAAAAGTGCAATATTTTCATCGGAAATCGTTGGAAAAACATTCAAATGACTTTCTTACGTACAAAATTTAGTCTGGGGTCCTCCCGGGGTGAGTTCTTACGAAATTCAATTTTTTCTCACAATATGACCCCACGTGACCTCAAATGACCCAAGAGTAAATTTTGTGCGTCAGAATGTCATTAAAAACGTTTTTCTAACGATTTCCGATGAAAATATTGCACTTTTACTCTATTTTCGGAAAAAAGTACTGATTTTTCGGTGACTTCCTCAACTTCCGGGCCTTCTAGAGGCTCTAGAATTGGGGGTGTCCGGTGGTTTTCTATACATATTCTGAACCGTTAGAGCCTCCTCTACAAGCTCATATAGTGGGCTTTCTCCAGAAGTGGGGAGAAGAAAAGTTATGAGCCCCTAACCTAGATTGGCCAAATTTCGGGACTTTGGAAGGCCTAAAACCCCTCAGGGCATGAGCAAAACCCCCAAGTATGAATAGTCAAAATGATCCCCAGCTTCTGAGGAATCTAAAACTGTATTATATTCCCTGATTTATAAGCTCTAAAAAGAGCTCATTTTTCATCAAGTTTACCTACCTATAAGTTATAGGTCGTTTAAATACAGAGCATCTCCCTGAAGAAGTATTTCTTAATGCAGGTTGCCGTAATGATTCGATTACCGAGGAGTGGCGATGAGCGAGAAATGCTTGAAATCGGGCCAGATATCTGCAGCGAAATATCGGCTTTGATAATTTCTTCTTGGTGCTGCGCAGCGAATTGCTTAATTATTCATTTGACGATGCTATTGTATATATGTAGTGTTGCGTCTCTATTTGAACCTAACTTTGAACTCACCATATTTGAGAGATGAGCCCACCAAGCCACTGTAAGCCAAAGGAGAGCCACAAGAAACAACCAATTCTGTAAATTTCGAAAAGCGCTTCTGCCTTTGCTGGGTATTTTGTCTTACAATGGTTAGCTTCAGCCTTTTTTTATCGAGTTTTACCGGTACGCAGGCTGAGATCTGACCCTCGCGATTCGGCGGGATCGGGTTCGCTAGCTCGTTCAAGCACTCAATGTTGTTTTTGACATGCGTAGCTGAAGTAGGTCGTCTTCATTTTGATAGATTCTAGTGTTACCCATAGAGTTAGGAGGAGTATTGCGAGGGATGTAGTCGCCGAATCCGATTGTTGACAAGGAAATAATTGAAAAATAAAACGATTCCAACTAGAAAAGATGCTTGAACAGCTGATATCGATATATTGAATACCTTTGACCAGCCTTCTAAGATCGTAAAGACGGCAGAAGGGACAGCTAGAATCAAAATAATGCCACCCGCGAAGTAAAGAAATTTAAAAGGAGATATGCGAAAGTGTCGTTCTTTGTCTTTTGACTTCTGAAACTTCATATCGAGCCTGAGAGAAGGTCCATCAATTCTTTAAATTGTGAAGTTATTAATTTGAGACCAATTTTCCTTCCAAGTTGGGCGTTGAGGCTATCGGACAAGGTAGACGTCAGAAACGCGAAATAAGGGATCCCCACAGATAAATAAACAATGCAAAAAAGTCTGCCGAGCGCGGTTTGTGGAGTCAGTTTTCCATATCCAATAGTGGTGGCTACAGTGCCCGCGAAGAAGAGAGAGTTATGAAAGTTCCACTTCATGTTGCAAGCTGTTTCCAGCTCCGTATATTTCCTAGAAATGTAGAGTTGTTGGACAACGATTGCTATCAATAGATGAAATGATAAATGCGTTGGAAAGTGGCCAGAGCACAATTTTCACGGTTTTCTTAGATAAAGTTAAACGTAGCTTTTCATCGTTGTGACATCATTTTTGTCAAAATATTTAATAAATAAGCTTTACCTCACAACCATCATCGTCGATTTCTGCATTATGCTTCTTAGTACATCGCCTTTCAAAACAATCGTCTCCTCGTCAAAGTTCTTCTTCTGGTCGGAAATGTTCTGTGCAAACGTGAAGAAATTGCCATACTCAAACTTTAACGATTGCGAGAGTTCATCATACTTTTGCTGTGTAAGAAATATTATTTGAAAAATGATTTTTGATAGCTCCGTTTTACTTGAAGGGCAATATTGCTCTGGCTGTCACAATCGTGAGACATCCACTCAAAGAACATGTCCTCAACAGTTTTGTCGAACCGGCCCATACTTGTCTGAAAATAGCTCGTCATTTCATCAACGACATGTCTATTCATGCAATGGAAATAACGACTCGGTGGTCGATTCGAATCCTTTGATTACCTCTTTGTATCTCCTGACTCCCGAGCAGAATTTCCCATTCAGGCCAAATGTATAAAAGTACATGTCTCCAAATGTCTCTTGCTCTTCTTTCCATTGTGCTCGTTTTTCCGCGCATTTTTTCAGCTTGGAAAGTTAAGAAAAATTTCTAAGAAGAAAAAATCATACTTCATTTGGACTTTCAATAACAATGAAAATCAGGGCGCCAATAATAAGGTAAGCAACGAAGCCAAGAAAGTACCAAAAGCTTGAAAATTGGGATCCAGAAGATGAATTTTTAATTGCTTGAAATTTTTCTTTTATGAAGTTCGTTAGTAGAAGGCTTGATTTTATTTCTTTCTGGGCCCGTCTCTTTGCTCATCTGCTAGAGCAGTCTAACACATCGGATAAGAATGAGAAAAAAGGAAAAACGAAGGATGGAGTCTCTCAAAATGAGTGCTATTGTCAATACTCGCTTAGAATTGATGGCGTGTCTCAGTAAAAGCATCAAACTTGAGCGATATAGAGAGCTCGTTTCTGTCTTCCAAGTTTGCGAGCGTTTATTCAACTTAAACCCGAATTTCTTCAACTCTTCACTGGCTCTTGGAGAAAACAGCTGCAGCCATTTTCACTCTTTCAGAAGACTCAACGAGCATGACCCGTGGAGTTAGTTGCCGATATACAGAGAAAAGTTGCACTTTCCAAAATATTCCATTCACACTTCAATTCCAATATCGTCGCTAACTTCCGTCCATCAATAATATTTCATGTAGATTCTGTTTCATAAAGCCCTTTTAACTATCATCAAATAAAGTTTCCAACAATTCTAACCTACAAGCAAGCATCTTCAATTATTTATACTAACAGTGTGCCATTTTTGTACATAACATGTTGCCAGAAAAACAACTTATTGAAAATAAATGAACAAGAAATGTTGAAAACGAATTCAAATAAAGTGAATCTGCGAATAACTTTATTTCCAAGCTTCGTCCTTATCTTATAGCCTATAAGTTATACTATAACTGTTATAGGTCGTTTAAATACAGAGCATCTCCCTGAAGAAGTATTTCTTAATGCAGGTTGCTGTAATGATTCAATTACCGAGGAGTGGCGATGAGCGAGAAATGCTTGAAATCGGGCCAGATATCTGCAGCGAAATATCGGCTTTGATAATTTCTTCTTGGTGCTGCGCAGCGAATTGCTGAATTATTCATTTGACGATGTTGTTGTATACATGTAGTGTAGCGTCTCTATTTGAACCTAACTTTGAACTCACCATATTTGAGAGATGAGCCCGCCTAGCCACTGTAAGCCAAAGGAGAGCCACAAGAAACAACCAATTCTGTAAATTTCGAAAAGCGCTTCTGCCTTTGCTGGGTATTTTGTCTTACAATGGTTAGCTTCAGCCTTTTTTATCGAGTTTTACCGGTACGCAGGCTGAGATCTGACCCTCGCGATTCGGCGGGATCGGGTTCGCTAGCTCGTTCAAACACTCAATGTTGTTTTTGACATGCGTAGCTGAAGTAGGTCGTCTTCATTTTGATAGATTCTAGTGTTACCCATAGAGTTAGGAGGAGTATTGCGAGGGATGTAGTCGCCGAATCCGATTGTTGACAAGGAAATAATTGAAAAATAAAACGATTCCAACTAGAAAAGATGCTTGAACAGTTAAAATCGACATATTGAATACCTTTGACCAGCCTTCTAAGATCGTAAAGACGGCAGAAGGGACAGCTAGAATCAAAATAATGCCACCCGCGAAGTAAAGAAATTTAAAAGGAGATATACGAAAGTGTCGTTCTTTGTCTTTTGACTTCTGAAACTTCATATCGAGCCTGAGAGAAGGTCTATCAATTCTTTAAATTGCGAGGTTATCAATTTGAGACCAATTTTCCTTCCAAGTTGGGCGTTGAGGCTATCGGACAAGGTAGAGGTCAGAAACGCGAAATAAGGTATCCCCACAGATAAATATACAATGCAGAAGAGTCTGCCCAGAGCGGTTTGTGGAGTCAGCTTTCCATAGCCAATAGTGGTGGCTACAGTGCCCGCGAAGAAGAGAGAGTTGTGAAAGTTCCACTTCATGTTGCAAGCTGTTTCCAACTCTGTATATTTCCTAGAAATGAAGAGTTGTTGGACAATGATTGCTATCAATAGATGAAATGATAAATGCGTTGGAAAGTGGTCAGAACACAATTTTCACGGTTTTCTTAGATAAAGTTCAACGTAGCTTTTCATCTTTGTGACATCATTTTTGTCAAAATATTTAATAAATAAGCTTTACCTTACAATAGGGTCGGCCAAAAAAAAATCGATCTCGTGTTTCAATTACGAATTATACCTCGTTAGAAAGAGCAGAACGAGACGGTTCGAATGGTAAAAACCATTTGTCTGTGCGAGTTGGGGAAATTTTTTTAGAATTTTTTGAAAATCGCGATTTTTGTCACTAAAAACGTGAATCTTGGACGTTTCTAAATATCAAATTTTCGGCTACGCCAACTATCAAGCCTTGATTGGCAAGTGATTGCCGACTTCGGTCAAGTTTGGCCACTTTTTGCCGGAGGACCTTCCGGAGGACCCCTTACTGGAAGACAAACTGCTGGAGGACCAATAATAGAAAAAAAAATAAATAGCTTTGGATGGCAACATACTGCCACATTTGACCAACTTCGGTCACTTTCTGCCGGAGGACCTCCCGGAGGACCCCCTTACTAGAAGACCATCTGCTTGAAGACCAATATTCGAAAAAATATATAAATAGCCTTGCTTGGGCACAAACTGCCACAATTGACCACTTTCGGTCACTATCTTCCATAAACCTTCCGAAGAACCCCGGGTGAAAGATCAACTACTGGAGGACTTGAGGCAAATAAGCCCGTCTCTTAAATTCAGTCAGGTACAGTGGGTTGCGCAGATAGTAAACCCCTTAAGAGCGGGTGCACCAGTCAAGGATGGTAAAAGTAAGGGGCCAAGCCAACCCGAAGGGAAGGCGAGCCCCGTCTCTTGGACTATGTTAGGTAAGGGACCAAGCCGACCCGGAAGGGGGGCCATCCCCGTTACATGGATTCAGTTAGGTACGGGGCCAAGCCGACCCAAAAGGGAGGCCAGCCCCATTTCTTGGATTCAGTTAGGTACGGGTCTGCTTGGTGGATAATTACAGGGGAGTAAAAGGTCTTATCGACAAAAATTGTCGATCTCCAGTTGCGGAGTTAAGTAAGGGGCCAAGCCGACCAAAAAGGGATGCCAGCCTCGTCTCTTGAATTCAGTCAGGTAAGGGGCCAAGCCGACCCAGCATGAAGGCGAGCCCCGTTTCATGGATTCAGTTAGGCAAGGGGCCAAGCCGACCCGAAAGGGAGGCCAGCCTCGTTTCTTGGATTCAGTTAGGTTAGGAGCCAAGCCGACCCGGAAGGAAGGCGAGCCCCGTTTCTTGGATTCAGTTAGGTAAAGCCGACCCGGAGGGGAGGCGACCACCGTTTCTTGGATTCAGTTAGGTGCGGGGCCAAGCCGACCCAAAAGGGAGGCCAGCCCCGTTTGTTGGATTCAGTTAGGTACGGGTCTGGTTGGTCCCTTACCTGACTGAATTCAAGAGACGGGGCTTGCCTCGCCTTCGGGTCGTTTTCGCGCCTTACTTCACCGAATTCGAGAGATACGGCTGGCCTCCCCTTCGAGTTGGCTTGGCCCCGTACTGAATTCAAGAAAGGGGGCTAGCCTTTTTTTCGGGTCGGCCTTACCCAGGGGTCTAAAATTTCTGTAGAATTGCGAAAAAAAGTGAAAATTTTTGAGGTTAAAAATTTAATTTCCATTTGTTAAGAGAAATTCTATAATTATAAAATCGACGATATGAAAGGCTAAATTCACAAAAGTTTTTGATACAAAAGGCGACCATCTCTTACGCCTAAAGAAAAGCCCGAAAACTTGTTTTTTTGCCGAATTATCAGGCTCAAACTGAGGTCCCGAAGCTTCTAAGAGAGCGCAAGCTCTTATCTTTCAAATAAGGTGCTCAGAATTCAACATCACAATTGTTTTGAGACTCTTATTGACGCCATAATATAGAGCGACAAGTAACTGCCTTATCATAAATAATGTCACATTTTCGCTTTTTCCGCTTTTGAGAATTTGATATTTTGTGCGAAGCGTAAGCGAAGGGGTGAAAGAGACCAAGCAGCCCCGTACCTAACTGAATCCAAGAAACGGGGCTGGCCTCCCTTTTGGGTCGGCTTGGCCCCGTTCCTCACTGAATCCAAGAAACGGGGCTGGCCTCCCCTTCGGGTCGGCTTGGCCCCGTACCTTACTGAATCCAAGAAACGGTGCTGGCCTCCTTTTCGGGTCGGCTTGGCTCCTAACCTAATTGAGTCCAAGAAACGAGGCTCGCCTTCCCTCCGGGTCGGCTTGGCCCCTTAACTGACTGAGGTCAAAAGACGAGGCTGGCCTCCCCTTTGGGTCGGCTTGGCCCGTTACCTAACTGAGTCCATGTGACACTGACACTGACTTACAGATGATAGGTATCAGTTTGAGGACTTCTGATACTTTGAGGATTATTCTGAAAGACATTTTGTGCATCTTGAATCCTGTAAATGACTGTATGCAATTATGGAAATCATTGACTAAGCCATTCTAATACAGACACTGTCTTACAGATGATAGGGATGAGTTTGAGGACTTCTGATACTTTGAGGATTATTCTAAAAAACATTTTGTCCATCTTTATCCCTGTTAATGACTGTATGCAAGTTTTGAAGTCATTGACTAAGCCTTTATAATACAGACACTGAGTTACAGATGATTGGTATCAGTTAGAGGACTTCTGATACTTTTAGGATTATTCTCAAAGACATTTTATGCATCTTCAACCCTGTTAATGAATGTATGCAATTTTCGGAGTCATTGACTAAGCCTTTCTTATACAGACACTTACTTACAGATGATAGGTATCAGTTGGAGGACTTCTGATAGTTTGAGGATTATTCAAAAAGAAATTTCGTGCATCTTTAGCCCTATAACTTACTTTATGTTATTTTTGAAGTCACTGAATAAGCGTTTCTAATACAGACATTACCTTACAGAACCTTGGTATCAGTAGCAGGACATCTGATGATGTAAGCATAATTCAAAAAGACATTTTGTGTTATTTGAACGACTAGAAAGAACATTTATACTGCTGAAGGTCATTTAAGACCTATTAATGATACAGATAGCGACCAACAGATCCTCTGTTATCAGACTCTCATGAATATCACTGATGATACCAACGCAATACTTAGTTTATAACTTCTAATCAACGTTCAAACATATACATAAGACTTTGATCCTTTTTTTGTCTTCTTAAAAGACTTTTTTTTTCACTTTTAAGTTCTCATAAATATCCAGTAGTTTTATTTAAAAATTATTTTAAAAAATTCCCCAACTCATATTAGTATTCTGTAAGAGCAAAGTTATTTCCAAGTGTTTAATCTAACCTATGAGCAAAAATTTGGAATTGAAACATCTCTTTTTATTGATTTATGAATGAATGAGTACCTGAGTTATCCAAATAAAAGGGTTATTGGCACAAAACACCCTTCCGTAAAAATGGTACATGAGTTTTCTATCTCTTTTTTGTTCACGACCTGTATACTTTGAACCCTGCTCTATTACATTGTGTAATCAAATATATCATTTACCTTAAAAATATAGCGAATTTAATTTTTTAAAGGAAGTATGTCAAAATCAAGTCCCAATTTTTGGAAAAAATGCCCTTGAATGAGACCTGAACATCGGATCTCAGCAATTTTTGGTTTATAAAGGTTTTTGAGTACCGCGAATCCACTGAAACTGGTTTCGAAAGAATCGGAGATCAAAAAATTTTTTTGGCCGACCCTACCTTACAACCATCATCGTCGACTTCTGCATTATGCTTCTTAGTACATCGCCTTTCAAAACAATCGTCTCCTCATCAAAGTTCTTCTTCTGGTCGGAGATGTTCTGTGCAAACGTGAAGAAATTGCCGTACTCAAATTTTAACGATTGCGAGAGTTCATCATACTTTTGCTGTGTAAGAAATATTATTTGAATTATGATTTTCGATAGGTATTTTTTACTTGAAGGGCAATATTGCTCTGGCTGTCACAATCGTGAGACATCCACTCAAAGAACATGTCCTCAACAGTCTTGTCGAACCGGCCCATACTTGTCTGAAAATAGCTCGTCATTTCATCTATCGTTTTCATATCAAAAAGATATTGATCGAATTTTCGATACATTTTAAAAATTCGCTGCTATCTCAAATCGCTAATTCATGAAACTGAAAGCAGGATTCGGTGCTCGATTTGAATCCTGCAGAAGTCCTCCAGTTGCAGTGACGAGTTCGACTGCCTTCTTTCTTACCTCTTTGTATCTCCTGACTCCCGAGCAGAATTTCTCATTCAGGCCAAATGTATAAAAGTACATGTCTCCAAATGTCTCTTGCTCTTCTTTCCATTGTGCTCGTTTTTCCGCGCATTTTTTCAGCTTGGAAAGTTAAGAAAAAATTTCTAAGAAGAAAAAATCATACTTCATTTGGACTTTCAATAACAATGAAAATCAGGGCGCCAATAATAAGGTAAGCAACGTAGCCAAGAAAGTACCAAAAGCTTGAAAATTGGGATCCAGAAGATGAATTTTTAATTGCTTGAAATTTTTCTTTTGTGGATTTCGTTAGTACTAGGGTAGATTTTTATTTCTTTCTGGGCCCGTCTCTTTGCTCATTTGCTAGAGCAGTCTAGCACATCGGATAAGAATGAGAAAAAAAAAGGAAAAACGAAGGATGAAGTCTCTCAGAATGAGTGCTATTGTCAATACTCGCTTAGAATTGATGGCGTGTCTCAGTAAAAGCATCAAACTTGAGCGATATAGAGAGCTCGTTTCTGTCTTCTTTTATAAATAAAATGCTGTCATACGAGGAATCATTCATAATTCAGCGTAAATATTTCGCTACTAATGTCATCGCCGCTGTTCGACTTTTTTTTATCAATAATTGAAAAGTACTCGAAGTGATCTTTTTAGATTAGCATTTTTAAGAGGGTGACCATTATTCAGCTATCATTTCAATTGCTGCTTCCTGTAGATTCCAAATACAAAGAGTTAGATTGATTAGATGTTCATAAAGTTCAGATATCGCTAATTAGGCACTTCTCGCTTTCAGGAAAATGCACCACATAACGCATAAGATGAATCCGTAATGAGCATGGCTGTCCGGTTTAAGTCGGTTTGGCGGAATCACGGAACACCCGCTCCGAATCGATTCGTCGCATTCACCCAAGTTATGCAAATACGCTCCACTTATAACCAAGCTCAATCTCCTCAGTAGCCACAAACACATTCTTACTTATCTTGTGAATAGCACAAGAAAGTTAGCAAAGAATCAAGAGCTTTTTTAATTCTTCAACAATGAAACTCTCTTTTAACTTTTTGGCTGCTTTGAGTGTTGCTTCGGCGCAAGAAACTACAACCTGGACGACTGTAACAGCCCCAGATGACAGACCAGTCGGAATCAACGATGTCGATTTCGGACGAAGAAAGAACAGAAACAAGAAGAAGAAGAAGAACCAATACCAAACTACAACGACTGAGGCTCCAACAACTTCGGAAGCGACAACAACAACGGTATACACAACAACTTCGACGACAACAACGACGACATCAACCTCGACAACTACAGCTGTCACTACGACTTCGACGACAGCAACTTCTGCTGAAACAAGTACTGCTTCAACTGCTACAACTGGTGCTTACAATGATGGGAGTTATACAACAATTGCCGATACAACAATTGCCGATACAACACTTGATACAACAACGACAACCGGGGAAGTAATCACAACAGACGCGTATGGGTTAGTTTTATCAAAAATTCTTCATTATTTTAATCCATTCAAGAGCGCCAACAACAATAACACAAACAACAACGACTGAGCCAACAACCACTACAGTTACAACAACAACGTCAACGACCACATCTAGCTGGACAAAAACAGTTTACGACCCTACATCAACCTTGGGAGGAAATTATACTTACTACGGAAACAACCCTGGAGACCAATACGGAATGCTCATTGACAACAATGACTCGAACGTTGATGCAGGTAAATAGGCCATCTTCTCTCGGAAAAAATAACAAAATCAAGGAAACTACAACTTGAACATGGACGAAGACGGAGATGGAATCCCAGATTCTCAATTTTCCGGATTGACATGCTGGACATGTCACGCATCAAGCTGGGCAAAATGCGCGAATCAAGGAAAAGCGGTCAAATGCCTGAGCAACGAGCAGAGTTGCTTCACTACTGTTCGAAAGAGGAACTGGGAGCTCGAGGCAGTAGAGATGGGATGCAAGGCAAAAGATGTTTGTGAAAATGAAAAGGAACAAAATTTCCCGGTAACAAAAGATTTTTACCTTCCCAACTAAAAGATTCTAGCATAATCGACCGGCAAACTATCAATGCAGATTAGGTTCACTTGGTGCTGGAAAGCCTTCAGTTTGTCGACAATGCTGCTATTCTGACCTTTGTAAAGGGTCTTAAAACGATCATATAATAGGATTCACATAATTTTATCGTAGTGATTACAAAAATAATCTCTATTTATGACAGATTAGAGACCCAAGATTCAGTATGGGATCAACGATGGCCGATTTCTTGATGAAGGGAGCAACTTCGATGTCAGATTGGTCACAGAAACTGTAAATATATCTTTTCTTCTTTCTTCTTGCTTCTAGTAATAAAATATTTTTACAAAAATGTCGTTCTCTTTGTATAATTTCAAATACGTTTATTTCATAAGAACCTTGTTATGTCAAAAATTCTTGGATTCTGTTCCTCCCTAGTAGGGAGTCCCTACGATGACAATTATGAATGATGAAAGTCGTAAAAGAACCTTGGGCAAATCAAAGGCAAGATTCGGTAATTGTTGAAGCGAGTCGGCATCATTCAAGAGAGGCGGATTCATCGTCATCTTTTTGCCGTTGCTCATTGTTCAAATTGACCAATTTTAAACTGGTCCATTTTAAAAAGAGAACTTGAAAAATGGGAGTTATAAACATCGAGTCCCCGGAGCATTTTCTGAGAGAGCTTGGAAACGGGTAATTCTTTCTCTATATAATAATTTCTTTTTAAAGGGACTTTATTTCAGTCCTGCTGTCATTGACTTTTGGGCTCAATTCTGCGGTCCCTGCAAGAGAATCGCCCCTGAGTACGAAAGTCTCAGCAACGCGTACCCAAACATCAAGGTATTGACTCTTTGAAATCAAGGAAGACAATTAATCCTCAAGTTTTTCAAATGCGACACTCGAGGAGACGGAAGCGAAGTCGCCGACTCACATGGAATCCGAGCTCTCCCGACGTTCGTTTTCTACAAAGGCGGAAAAGAACTGCGAGAGCACAGATTCGAAGGAGCGGACATGACAAAATTGGAGCGAGTTCTCAGCCAAATCGGCCGCGTTGAGACCTTTACTGGCGCTGGAAATAGATTGGGCGGAGAAGAATGGCAAACTCCCCCACCAGAAGCTTTCAATATTCCTCAAGCGGCGGAGGAAACATTTCCGAACCCGATTCAAGTTGATCCAACAAAGCCAAGAACAAAAATTCAATTTCGCTTTCACGATGGATCAAAGCACGTGCAAGGTAAACCTTTAAAAACTAGAATAACTAAACAAAAATATTTTTGAAGAGTTCAACAACGATCACCACATTTGCGACATTTTCCTCTACGTTGGTCACCGTGATGGTTTCTCCTCCAATTTCATTCTGAAGAGTGGTTTTCCGCCGAGGCTCTTGGAAGATACAGGAGAAACGCTCGAAGGGGCAAAGCTTCTTAACAGCCAGATTGTTCACCAAATCGTCAAATAAATTGTTTCCAAAAAGATTAAATTTTTTAAATTATCGATTTGAAGAAAGTCGAGTTATACTGATTATAACACTTGTAGTCACTAAAATGTATTGGATACTTTTGAATAAACCAACAATAAATCTATCCTCAAGGAAAAAGAAATCGTCACTCACGCGACGGACATGCTTGAATGCCTATCAGAAAATGTACATATCTTTGTAAATTGTTGATTGAGAAGATAGTATGGTATTTACGAAGGCGCTCGCGAGGCGTGTCTCTCATCGATTTTGAGGACTTGATTACGTTTTGAAAATGTATCAACCAACTTTTTGTTGAAAAAAGGCATCATTATAATAATTTTGTAATAGAGAGTGATAATGCCAGAAGATCCACAGAACGGCGGTTCCGAGGTTAAATCAAAAGTCAGCATAAAAACGAAATGTACCTTTTAGATAATTTTGGGGAAAAGAAAAGAATGCAGTCATTCTTGCCTCAGAATAGGAATCAAAATGATGAAAGAAAATGAAATTCTGGTAAATCTTCTTTTCATTCGGCTTCGCTGATTCTTGCTGCCTTTAGTATTGCCAAATTTGCGGAGAGAAGAATCCAGGCCTTCTTTATGGCGGGCGAAGTTGTAAAAGCTGCATGTATTTCTTTCGGCGCGTCACTTTTGAGGGAATCACATATTTCTGCAATTCGACGAACGGAAAGCAAAATTGCATCGAAGAAACAGACTGTATCAAATGCAGGAGGGCCTGTAGGAGTTGTCGCTTCAAGGCAAGATCTTTTGAATGAAAGATGCCTTAGAATAATCGTAATTTTAGGCATGTAAAGCCGCTGGAATGGCTGTGAAAAAGAATTGCTCAAAGCGAGCTTCAAACAATTTTAGAAGCGACTCGATAGGTTAGCCTAATGACATCTTCGGTTCAAAAATTTTGCGATACAAGTTTCTCAAAAAGAAAACTTGTTCAGATAGCACAAACGCGCAAAGTTCTCCGAGCAGCTCCCCGAACACTGCCGAAGAAAGTAATCGATTCTCAGAAGACACCCTTCAAGGAATGGTTTTGTAACTGATCTTTTGGGTGCTGGGCGGTTTTCGGACTTTATGAAGAATGGTTCTTATCGCAAAGAAATCCTATCAATTTCAAATCCATGCTCTAGCTCTGCGACAAGCTCCGGACTTGACAGAATCTCATTTGCCAGCTCATGTTCATATTTTCTGATTTTTTTCTCTATTTAAAAACGGACCCTACATTATTTCCCATTTTTAATTTAGGGGGTTCCTGGACAAATAATTTTAATAAAGATCAAACTAAACGAATCATAGTTATAAAACCAGTACTCGTCACTAAACGACAACAGTTTATTGACACGCGAATTCTTGAGCAACAGTCAAGGATTGAAAAAATCTTCAATCACTCAAATTCATTTATATAGAATACATGATATATCATATACTATAATAGACATATATATACGCGGTAATTCAATTATATATCAATAGAGCCTTATCTAAAAATTATCATATGAAGATCCTTAAAAAGATGCTAGACCCTTACGAGGAGCACTTTTTTGTCTCGCTCTCGAATGTTTGGGAAGCGTATGTGAAAGGTTCTTAAAATTTTGACCATCAAGTTTTTTATTGTTTTATGAAAGGTATCATCCCGGACAACTGCTATTTGGACTCATGTCTTTCTGAGCGGTCAAATCCAGTTGATTTTCTTCGAAAAGAAATGTCCAGTCTGGTCATTGATCGATCACTCAGGTAATTATTTTTTACTTTAGTTTGTTCTCAACACTTTTGTAGCATGAAAAAGAAGATCACAGAAGCAATGAATGTAAATCATCGACTGGGAAAACTGATGATTTACAAGAACTTTCTTTCCTTACACAAGACTTGTCTGAAATACCTTATCGACTACATCCCCGGCTTTCAAGACATGGCAGAGTCGACAAAGAATGTAAGAAAATTCTTGAGTACAATTGAGTTTCCTCTTTTTGTAGACAATTGTTTCGAAATCCTGGTTTGCCGTCAAAGTTCTTAGAGGTGTCTCGGAAAGTGATACAGATTCGATTCGAATCATTCGAATATTTGTACCCTAACCCTAACCAAAGGGGCTACGCCCCCGATGTCCACCCTAAGGCCTGACAGAAATATATATTTATGCGTTCAAGCGTTAAATTATCGAATAGTCGGAATCACTGAAAAAGGTCACGAACACAACGGATTATTCGCACATCGAATTGACCGGCGAGGATATAACAGTAGATTTCTACAATGAAATCGGAGTCCCGACAAGTCTTTTGAAGTATTGGTAACTCATCCTTACGTTTGTCATTCGAATTTTAGCGACATCAAGCTGATTATCTTCAGCATTTTCACGCAAGGATCAAACATGCGAGAGTTTCCTCTCATCATGGCGATAATTTTCCTGTCCGTCGATCTGGAGGATGAAAATGTGGCGTTTTCTGACCGACCCGTTCTACAAAGACTTCTGGTATGCCGTCAATTTCGATTTCAAAATATGAGAATTTTTTAAGAAAATGGCTTCTACAGTGCTTCTAAAAATGATCAAGCAGGTCAATTATACAGTCGATTTTCAAAGGAACGGTGAAACGATTTTGAGCGTGCGCGATTCGGACTCGGAATTTTTGCCCAATTTTTTCACCTAATCAAAGACACGTAGCTCGAGTCTTCCAACATATGCAGATTACCAAACAAAAACTCAGGTACTAATACAATTATTTATCTTCGCTCTCATGTTTTATAGAACTGACAGAGATGAAATCCACAACTACTCAGTGTACGAGCCAAAGATCATGTCTCTCAGTGAGATTCCCTCGCCCTGCCCATAATCTCTCCAAATTCATATCCCCTTCTCGTTAACCTTGCAAACAGAACACCAGATAAGAAAAATCGCCAGAAGGTGATTCTTTCTACAATGCCATGATTATCACGTTAACCCTCTCCTTTCTACTTGCGAATATATGTTTGAATAAAAAATACGCTTTTTGTGAAAATTATCAACTTTTATTAAAATGTGCTGGGTTTAGAATTTTGGAATGTTGTTTTTTACAAGCTAGACTTTGCCGGAGTATTCAGTAAGCATTTGACTTTCGCCAATTTGTGGCTGAGCGCGCATCATTGGATTTTCAATGGCCATATTGAAGGCCGAGTTACAGTGAGAAATCTGCGTCTGAGCTTCGCAAGAGAGGGCTAATAATGCGGAAGCGGCCATAAGGAGCAGGCCGGAGGAGATCCAGCCAAGATAGAATGCGTAGCCTAGGGAGAAGAGTTAGAGATCGGAATAGTTAGAGCTCGTTACCAAGGGTGGCTTCGTTGTTGGAGACAAGCGGATAGTATTCGTGTTCAGGAGGGCAAGTGGAAATGCAAATACTTTGCTGGAGCGTGAAAGTCAGCATTCCAGCTGTACAACCAACGCATGAAAGCAAAAACATACCACTAGAAAAGCAAAAGTTATCGTCAAGTTTACCCTTTCCTTTTATACCTAGAGGCGCGAGCGAGAGTTCCAGTTGTTTGAAGTTGACCTCTGCTGACTAAAACGGCGGCGGCAAGGAGAGCGAGGAGCATTGCGGGAACGATGAGGACGCAAGAGGAGAATAATCCCGCGCGAGTATACATACAAACTATGATCCTTGTTAACCCAATTTCAGTTCGTCTATTTACCTGAGAAAGGAATGGCATTGCAATTGTAGAATCGCTTTGAAAGAGAAAGCGGAACGTCGGGACTGCTATTGACGAACCAGAGACCGTAGTTTCCTGCATCCGGCCGCTCTTCCGATTCTAGTAAATTCGTAACGCTTACGCCTTGTTCCGCTCCTTCGACTTCAGTTATCTGCGTTGGAATATTCAACCAGCTCTGACTGAGAAAGGCGATGAAGGCGCAAATCGACCCAGCAAGACCGAGAATAACTCCAGTCGCGCCAAGTGTCACGCTTTTTCCTTTGTTCCAGCCAAGAGGAACGTCCATTTTTCTCTGAGTTATATTTTCTAGCTCTGGTGGTCAGGAGAAAAATGGTGAGTCCTCCTCCACCAAAAAAGTGGAATTTGCCCCGCGGCAGGGGCGAATAATCATTCATATAAAAAGCCAAGTTCAAATCGTTTTTTAGTAAAATGTAAGTTATCATTAGGTTATAAAGCGAGTATATTTCAAACGAATATTGTAATAATAAAATGCCAGGAAAGTGACAAGACAAACGCTTGACATGAATCGCAATCGATTTTGCTTCCCATATTTATTCTTTTTGTATATCTTTGTTTTACAAAGAAGAGAAGGCTGAAATAAAACAACAAAAATATGGATATAAAAATATTCAAAATGGTCAGCCAAGCGTCAATAGATGGTAAAAGATAACATCTCTCTTAGTCAATTATTTCAAAAGAGAAAGAACTCTTTTCTTTCGTTTTATTTTTGCGATTAATTTAAATTAATTGTCGATGTTACAACTAAATACGAGTGTGTTTAACCACTCTTTGTGTAAGTGGTAGTTATTGTCGTGCTGGGCTTGTTTAGCTTTGGCTCTAGGCGTTTGATTGTAAAACATCTTCACTTGAAATTGAGAATTCTCAGTTATAGCCTTTTGTTTTTTAGCTGAAAAGATGGAGCAGCTTGAAGAGATTTTTCAAGGCTACACTAGGTAAAAAACAAACTAGGGATAAAAGTGCTAATTTTAAAAAATAGAAATGGTTTTCCGAAACTCCCGCCTGAAATAATGGGAACGAAGCAATCTGTCATCGACGAAAAAGGTAATTTTCACTTTCTCGATCGAAATTTGACCTTTTGAATATTTTAGCTCTTGAATTACTGACACTGCCAAAGCACTGGAAGGAAATCATCAAAGATGCGGCTCAATTGGAGAAAAGAAACAAATCGTTCCAGGAAGCGATTTGGGAAATTTTCACGACTGAGCGGGTTTATATCTTGAATCTGAAGATGGGACTCGATTGCTACATAGGATAAGGCTCTCGTATAACCCCAGCCCTTATCTGAAACTAACTTTCAAAAGGCCTATACATTTGAGAGCACTTTGAAGGCTTCTTGATCGACATTCAACAACAAGGGCTCCTAATCGACGTGGAAATAGCCAAACTGTTGCTGAATCTCAAAGAGCTCTATCAAATACATCTGCACGAGTGGAAATCTACCCTCCTCCCAATCATCAAGGATATTGAATCTTCTGGCAAAGCACTGAACGCAGCACAAGTTTTGGAGATTTATGATGGCCTGAGCGAGCGGCTGCAAAAACCGTATTTGAAATACCTTTCCGGCGCATCGGAAGCGATGCATTACGCACGAGAAAAAGAAGAGACAAATCTTCTTTTCAAAGAGTTTCTCAAACTTTGCGAAAAGCAACGAGCGACGCTCGGAGTGATGTTTGGCTCGTTAGAATCGATCCTTTGCTCGCCTCATCAAAGAATTACCAGATACGGTCTGTTGCTGACCCCAATCATCAAATATTGCGATGACGATGGAGAATCGAAGAAAAAACTCGAAGAGGTTCACAAGAAAGCGGATGCTCTTTGCAGATGGCTAAACAACAGGGTCAAATTGTCGGAATTGAACAAACAGTACATTGGAAACAATTTTGACTTTTATATTAAAGTAAGTCTACCGGGGGTCCTTCTATTAATCAAATTTTAGACGCCGAACACCTCTACTGTCCGAAACGAAATGCTTCTCTACTCGGCAAAAGGTTTTGATGCCTTTAGCGAGATTCCAGGAAGCCAAGTGAAGGGTCAAAAACGAATGGTCCTTGATGAGCGGGATGATGTCACCTTGTTGTTGCCCAAAAAGGAAAAAATACTAACGAAGATTTTGACCGATTGTCTTTTGGTCTTTACTGCGCAAGAATCATCAGTTAAATCGTCGAAAGTCAAGAAGCTATTTCTCTGTTTTCCGCCTCTAAAAATCGGTAAAATGAATGCTTCGATGGGTTTTTTTACTTTTATTTTCAGATACGCTCTATCCGATCGTATTCGACCAGGTGAAAATAACTCTTGTTAGTGTGGGTCCTTATGGATGCCCTGAGCAGAGCTTGACGATAAGTTTTCCGACTGAGGAAAATTGCTCCAGTTTTATGGCGAAAATAAGGGAAGCAAGGGAACAATATCAATTGATAAAACAGGTAAATATAAGATTTACGCCTACTGTGATGATATATTCTACAAACAGGGGCAATCGTTGTCGGATGAACTGATGAGAAAGCTGGACGAAGTAGTGCTCTCGAGCAACCACATCGACTCAGACCCCGAAACGCCAGACGAATGTGTTGCCTCCCTCAAAGATCAAAAGCCCCGCGCGCGAGCAGTAGTACCTCTCAACATCGACCTCAATTTCGACGCCTCAGAACTCGGTTTAACTTCTCCAAGCCCAAAAGAAACTCCCGAAGATCCTTCGTCCCCGGCTTCAACCTTCGTCACTGTTGGAAAATCGAAGAAAACAAAGAGAAGATCTGTGATGAAATTTTTCAAAAGCAAAAATTCATCCAAAGACACAAGTACTGAGAATAATAATAAATAAAAATAATCTTTGAAAGATGCGTTTTTTTTGGAAAAGTCGGGAGCGTCGCAGCGGTGCGGTTTTCGCGGAATCTGAACGCCTTCGGGGCCAATGCCTTCCGAGAACCGCGACGCCAACAACCGGGACCGTTCGCGGAATGTTCCGCGAAAAATCAAATATCAACCAAGATCAGCTTTTTTCTTTCCATTATAAATTAATGAATTAATTTTATTCAAAGAAAATTTTGATGAATTGAGTCAAAATTCTTAAAAATTCTTTCTTTTAGTGATTAAAATTGTGAAGAGAAAATATTTTAGGCGACAAGGTGATCTTTTTTATATCGAAATTAAGGACCTACCCTTCATATTTTTTTCAAAAAATATTTCTCCAACAAACTTTTTCTTGAAGAGATTAAAAGAAATAGATTTATAGCGGATTACATTCTTACTTGACTGAGGGACCTAAATAAGCCGCTTAGTGATTAAAATATAAAATAGAATTATATCTTCTGTTGTATTTTCCCACGAGTGCAGTAAGTCGGCACCTGCCTGCGAGTATTTTCACGTTTTTCTCAAAATCGCTTCGACTGGCTCAAAGCGCCAAGGGCGAAAGTGGGCTGCCCTCCAAATTTCGGCCTTTGCCGAGTTTGTTTCCACGTGACGGACACTGTTCTCCTTGTTCCAGAGAAGAAGGTGGAAAGAGCAATTTGAAAGAGAGAAGAAGAGCCTTCCGAGAACTCGTCACACACGAACAGGGCGCCAATGACTTCGGCACAACCGCCGCCCATGAAAATATAGAACGAAGAGAAATATTCGCACATGGATCATAACGCGAGAGAAAAACCACTACTCAAGTAAGTTTCAAGAGTACTTTACGGCTTTTTGCAGCTTCGGGAAAACACTTTTGCTTTATTGTTTGTCTATAAGATTTCTATGAAAGCCTAAGGCTTATCGATTATAATTTGAAAAAATAATAGTGTCAAAAATAACATTTAAATTTCATTGACAATCTTGTTCTAGTCGACATTCTTCGGTAGGGGCTTTTCGATATCATATCGACGATATGCAAGTCTTTATGAAATGAGTTCTTATGAATTATAAGTTATGAATCATAACTAATGATCATTGATCAATATCTATTAATATTTTCGCCTAAATTATGATTTAAAAGTTTATTTTAGGAGTGGAACAAAAATGGTGGTCCGCCGACCGGATGGTTTGGGGACAGCGCAGTTGACATCGGAGAAGCTGCCCGGCGCCGTAGTCGGATCCGATGTTTCTCCCGACTCATCGCTGGTCACAGTGCGTCCACACTCGACCGTGCAGCGGGCGCACTCGACCGTCATCCCTCGAGGCTCCAAAGCGAAGGTAATCCAAATCTATCCTAAAACCCTTTCCAATTCATTTTGACATTTAAGAAGATTGAGTTGGCCAGTGCAAGTAGCAATGGAAATGGAGCGCTGCACGAAACGAAATCCAAAATCGAGAGAGACATGCTATCCGCTTTGGGCCAATTCCACGGACTCGAGAGTTTGATCAAGTCGCAGACAGAAGCGCTAAATGGAAAACAGAGAGTGGGAGTCAATCCAGTCCTGGGAAACGCAGGGCTCATGTGGGAAAGTGGAAGTAATAAGAGAAACAGTGTCCCGCAAGTTACTGTAAGTGTTTTTGCTAAAGATCTTTGGAAAATATCCTTTTAGGTTTCAAACGACTTTTGCAGTTTGTTAAACAAAAGAAAGTCTTCGACACCAGATCTTTCCATTCCTTTAGCGAAAAAGTCCAAATATGAAGCCTTCGAAGATTTGAAAGCTGAATCTGCTACTCCATCAGCTGATGAGCTAGGTAACTATTATATTTTGACTTAGCCGTACACTAACTAAAGGCTCATTTACCCTAAGATTTACTTCGGAGGGTGACCTTTATCCCAGCAACCAAATACTGACCTTCCCCTAGGTGCGCGTAGAAAAGAGCTAGACAACTACACAGGCTGTCTGCCCGCTCATATGCTCCATCTCCTCCCAATGACGCACAAAGCAGCACTAGCCGGCCAAAGTACGGGTTCGATTATAAATTCCACGAGCACCGAATCGATGTCCTCTGAGTTGACCGCCTTGTTACAGCAATATCAAGCGCTAAATGCAGCGGCTGGGCTCGCTGCAAACCAAGAAATCGGAAATGGTCTATTGACCTCGGCTGGAATTGACACTTCCGCGCTGCTGCAGCTACAGTTACTTCAAGCATTTCAGAGGCAAACTGCTGAACTTGCTGCTTTACCGGCTTTTTCAATGGTGAGCTAGATAAAGCGCCTTTTTTCTACTATTTTTAGGCGAAAGAAGCAGTCACTCCTCTGTCTCAAAATCAACCTCAAACTCCAAAAACGCCAACTACAAACTTGATTCAGTTCCCGACTTCCTCTCCTTATAAAATCACACCAGTGAAAGGAGGGACGAGCGAAAAGTCAAAGGTGAAATGTTTGAAGACAGCGGAAATTCCAAAGATCGCCCAGGCAGAGCTCGACAGCAATGTCAAACTATCCAGTTTCAATGGAATCACCATGACTCCGTCGATGACGAAAAGGCCATCGATCCCGAGTGAGTTGCTGCAGCCATTTTCAAAAAGGTATAAAAACTGAAATTATTCGACATTTCGATGTTACATCTAATTATTCAGCACGCCGTCAGTTGCGAGTCCTCCCGAGCTCTGGCTCAAAATCATTGGCAGGTCCACTCAAGCTAGTTCTAAATGCCTCTCAATGCTACAATCGGCAAATGCAAAAGGCGAAAAAGTGGAAGTGAAAATTTCCCTTTCCATTTCTGGAGAGAGTGAGACTTTTACCGGCATTTGCAACGCGCCAAAGAAAAAATCTAATAGAGTCGAAGTTGAAGTACATGAGCCCGTAGTTCCTACGCCAGAGGCACTTATTCCTGATGTCTCAAATCTACTCGGGCAGAATCTGGCGAGTTTGCAAGTTCAAGCCCGGCTACTGGCTTCAAGCTTAGGAGCTGCTTCTCCGGCGACAACAGTCAACCCGACAAATCCGTTTTCCATTTCACAGATTTTGCCCAAATTTAATCTCGATCTTCCGTCAATCCCTCCACTCAATTTAACTCCAATGACGCAGCCTCCAAGTCATGCTTCCAAGTGGAAAACTCCGAGTCCGCAGCAGGGCCGTGAATCCAGTCCGGAAATCATCGTCGACAAACTGACCCCCGAAGATCTTCCTCAAAAGGAAAACGCGACCGTCACCACGACTCCGACGAGAAATAAAGGCCCAAAGAAAAACTTCCTCGCTCGTCAAGCTGCTTTAGATGCAAAAATGAATGTTCTCCGAGCAAAAGCGGAATCGGAGCAAAAATCGACAGAAAACGAGAATGGTGACGTGGTGAAGCTAGAAATGTCCGACAGCGAAATGATTGAACCACATGTGGATAGATAGTTTTTAATCTTAATTTTTAAATCTTCAAATCTTAAAATTCATCTTTTATTTTCTGTGAATACTGTACTGATTTTACTGTAACTGCTAGCCATGTTTATATATATACTAATTTCAAATTTGAGTACATAGAAGAGTATATTTTCCAGTTCTTTCGAGTATTGGCAGAATTTGTGTGATGCGTTTTTCAGACTTGGTGATTGGAATTGATCATTTTCGAGTAACTCATTTTGAAGTGGTTGAATATATTCAGCTTGAGCAGTGTGTAGAGAAAAACGCCGAGCATGGTGAGAATTATCCCGAACAGCTTAAAACGTTGATGATTATTAATTATGATGCAAGGTATTTTACTATTTAATTGGTAATAATTAATTACTCTCGGCGGAAAGACCAGAGTTTGAAATGCTCGCAAATGCTCGCGAGCGCAAAGAGCGAGAGCGAAAATATATTATTGCTCTGAGAGCCGGGGAGCGGGAGCATGAAAATGAATATGCTCGAGAGCCAAAAGAGCGCGAGCCCAAATTTGAAACCGCTCGCGAGCGCGGAGAGCACGAGCGCATTTGTCGGCAATGCTCGGGAGCTAGACGAGCGGGAGCGGCTGCTCTCGTGCTCGCCATGGAATTGACTCACGAGCGGCTCGCGAGCAAAATTAAAAGAACAATTTTTTGCATTATTATTCACTTTGATAGATAAATTTCTCTCGTGGATCGATTTTTCGTTTTTCCGTTTTCTGGAAGCTTCATTAGATCAGTTATCTCGGCAGCGGAACGCGAAAAGCCGAGAGTAAACAGATAAAAGATGCCCACCGCGAAGTGCTAACTTCTGAGAGAGGGACTCATTTGGAATTAGTTACGGGGTCGTCGAATCATTTTAGGTTCTTGAAAGCTGCTCGCGAGTCAGATTTTTCAGCTCGGGAGCCAATCGAGCGAGAGCAAAATTTGACCAGTGCTCGGGAGCCAGGAGAGCGAGAGCGCGAAATGAAATGTGCTCGCGAGCGCAAAGAGCGCGAACGCTGAAATAAATGCGCTCGGGAGCACGAAGAGCATCATGCTCGTGCTCGCTCGCTCTCAAGAGAGCCGCTCGCGAGTCACGAAAATTTCTAACTCTGGGAAAGACGAGCTTACCTGGTAGGTATCTAGCGGGTCGTTGAACTTGATGAAGCCAATGAGCATGGTTGTGCAGAGTTTTAATTTTCCAAATGTTGCGTAAGTTATCACTTGAAAAAGGGGTTGAAGAAGATAGAAAACGTGGGAAGCAGACCTGATGTGTGACGGATAATCCAGTACGTCAAAAGGTTGACCGTGAAGGCGGAAAGGCCGTTTACCAACATCATTCCTTTTGTTAAATCGTCGCTTGGGATAAAGGTCGAGAGGGAAATTTCAGAGCCAGAAAGAACCAGCTCGAGAAAAAGAACAGGGAGAAGGAGAATACAGCTCTGCGGCGCTTGATAATAGAGTATTTGCATTGGGGTCAAATTGAGTTCTTCTTGTTTTTCGCGAACCCACTAAAATGACTTAGAATCTGAAGAAGATTTCAGGACCTACCACAGTGTAGACAGAAGTGACCAGCACTGCTGCCAGAGCCGCGATAGTTCCATTTTTGCTGAACATCAAATCGTTCGCGGAATTAATGACAATTCCAGCGATCATGGGCACCATGGTTAGCTTTATTGCACGAGAAAATCGCTTTTCGTAGAAAACTGTTTGGATCACGATGAAAAGCGGATCGGCGAGGCATTTTAGGACTGAAAAATGGCATAAACCGGCCAGAATTGTTGCTGGTACCTTGATAAGTGCCGATCGTGTTGTATTTGAGGGATAAATTTGTGAGGACCACTGAGCCACAGAAAGTGAGAGAGAGTGGAAGAATCTTTTTCGCGGGCACATGCTTTGGGGCAAAAACGCCGAGAAGCTGCAGAGCATACAGGGCAATAAACGTGCATGCAAAGTGATAACAAACAAGTGCGACCGATGGAAGAGGCAGATTTGTGAGAATCCACTGATAAATTTTTTTTAGAATTCCCGAAAAAACTATTATTCAAACCTTGTTTGTAAAAGTGATTGCAAGTGAGGCCGCGTAGTTCACCCCCAATCCGACGATGATCGCCTCCATTTTCTCATGTGCTCTTTTTTCTCCTTGAAATATTTTTAGGAACCCATTTTCGGACAAATTTGGAGCGATGCAGAAATAATGAGCATCTCTGGAAAAGCTAGCAATTCTGAAGAGCCCCGCCGGCAACGACAACGCCAAAAACGGCCGCCATCAATTCTTACGCTTCATAAAAATTTAACGGCCTCGACAATCAATTATCATCACTTGATCTGCATTTGAAGCGCTTATTGCATTATGTTTTTGATAGATCTGAAATGTTTCTTGTTTTATGGTTAATTTATGCTGTTTAATTTAAATTTAATTGCTGATAAGCAAGTGATATGGTCCTGGAGTACAGTGTAGTTTCGTCCTGTCAGGATCTGGACCAGGTCAAATATACGATTTTCAAGAGAGAAGGATGCTTACTAAGCAAGATTCTTATCAAAAAAACGCAGGAAACTTTGAGTCTCAGCGGGATAGCGAGTTTTGACCAGCTGGGTCCCTAACCAGGCTGATGCTGTTATAGTGGGAACTAATTGAGGAAAGAGAACTCTCGAAAGTAGAGAAGACTGATAGTTTATTCGGACTGGAGGTCAGTTTATATAGGCTGTGAACTTGTGCAAAGGGATGAGCCGGGAGATACAGTCGGTAAGATGGTTGGTGGCACAGCGGGAGTTGGGAGAGGGAATGCGTGGATTAGATAGTTAATGATCCTCTAATTGGTATCACCACTACATCCACCCCCCCGACGGGAAAAAAGCGGGTAATTATCAGAATACACAAAATGGTACTTATAATTAGAAGCAAGCTTGGCACAGAATCAGAACAAAAATTTCTTTTTGAGAAAAATAAAAGTTCGTTTTTTCGCAATGACGCTGATTGAGACTTCCGACTCTGAGTCTGATTGGTCCGTCTTCGGGGATGACATTCCAGAGAGACACGATCAATTGAGCGACCATAGTGACGAAGAAACTGATCCAGAAGACGTAGAGAATGACATGAGACGCCAGTTTTTGAACCGTGACCCGACCGAACTGAATATTTCCATGCGATTTTATTGGAACTGGATTCAACGGTTAGCAGCAGATGATTTTTCTTTGGCGTCGGATAGAGGTTGGTTTGGGATTTGTATTCCTGGAATTGATTTGGTACAAATGTTCCGGTTTTGCGCGGGTGCGAATCAGGATCAGCCGATGATTCAATTTCTTGTTGGTAAGCCAATGTTTTGTTGGACCCCCGCGGTACGAAACGGACTTCGGGTGGATCGAGCGTGCCGCACGTTGCATTACGAAGGCGTCGACTATCGATCGCATGGAAGAAGGCCAGGATCAATGCCATGGTGCCGCGTGAAGACATTCAACCCTACGGTTCCATTCCCTGTCATCGTTACGAAAGTTTTGGTTGTGTACTTTTAACTTGTTCTGACCAATGACCAGTCGAATAAAAGTAGTTTTAGAAATTGAAAGTTGTTGAAAGAAAAATTTTTAACGAAGGGTAGACCCTTAAGGGTTGAAGCATGAAAGGAGCATAGTAGTACTGTCAAATAGTAAATAATATGTGGAAAACAGAAATTCTAGAGCTAAACATTATTTTTTTCTTTTAATTATTTTAAAATTTTTAATAAGCATTTATATTTTTAGTCATAGAATCAGTGAGCGAGTAAATATAATCGAAGCGAATGTGTGTTTTAAGGGTATCAGCATAATAAAAAGGTGACTTTCAATGCAAAGTCATTGAGCGAAATAAGGGTGTATGCAGGAAAAGAGGTGATTTAATATAACCACTTTGATTGAAATAAGGGTATCACTATGATTTCAGCGAAAAAGAAAATTTTTCAAAAAGTCATGAGAGCGAATTAAGGGTGTAAGCATGGTAAAAATAAGAAAGAAGTGACCAAGGTAGCGATCACGTGAGCGGAAATAAGGGTTTCAGAGTAAACAAGCAAAGAAAAATCTAGCTAGAAGTTCATTTTTTTGATTTTTTGATTTTGAATTTTTATGAATCAACTTTCAGAGATTTTCGGATTTTGGGCTTTTAAGGCCATCTTTTGCTTTATACAGATGTGTCAGTAAATCGACGTCGAACGAAAGGCGTTGGAATAGTTGTTGGTCTGTCAGCAGAATTATTTATAATTACAGGATTTGGTTTAAATAACCTTTTACATAAGCAATAGATAATTGTCGAAAGTGTGATTATTATAACTAAGCCAATAATTGAGATTGTTAGTAGAAGGGAGAATTCTTTAGCGCTGGTAGAAGTGTTTCCGAGGAGAGAGCGAAATTTGTTAGCTTTGTTTTGAAGATCTGGTAAATTAATATCATTTAAGTGGGAATCGTCTATTGAATTATAAACAGATTGTAAATCGATTGGATTGTACAGTGGTTCAAAATCGAGGTCTTTTAGGTTTACGAAGGAAGTTACTTCGGTATTACTTTTTGATGCAGAGGTAAAGGCGAAATTATCACAGACAATGTGAATTGGATGTTCAGTTCTAGCGATGGAGGTGATATTGGGCGTTAATGGATTATCCGAGTCAATCTGCGGATAAATGTCATTACCGTCCGTTAGGTTGAAAATTCTATATCCAGAGTGGTGGCTAAGCAGGAAAAGATTGGGATAGGGCATTATTTGGCATTGCTGCGAGCTGTGATAGAATGAAGAGTGACAGTTAGTCAGAGAATTACCGGATACAATAGAATTAGCGCAAATGTTATTAGCTTTGTAGATATCTCTTTCAGAGCAAAAACGTGACTTTGAAAATTGGTCTAAGAGACAAGAACTAGTATCAAAAGCGTACCCGTCCAAAATACTGATGGATTCAGGAAGATCGTAGTTAGCATAGAGATAAGAATTTGATTTAGTATTAGATTTAAGTGGTACTGGAGCACTGTATGTCAAAAGACTATTGGAGAAAGGCTTAAATTTAGGAAGTTGGTACGCTACATGTATGATGAGTGACGGAAATTGATGCGGTTCGTACTCGACTGTCAAGCCTGAAAAGTGAAAATTTCGGTATCTATAGAAATCGCGGCATGGCAGGTCGAGTCCGTTTTGGTTAGTACAAATTTTCGAGATGAGGTCCGCAGCTTTCGATGTCGGTGATTTAGAAACAAGACTAGCGATGACATCTTCCACACTGTCCCTGAAAAGAGTCCAGTGTTGGATGAGGGAGGTTTCGAAAATTTTCGTTTCAAGATTTCTCTCGTCACGACATTCACTTTTAAGAAGTGTTTTTATCATACTTTCTTCGTGTTCTACGCTTACTTTAAGATTCGCAATATCCTTTGCGGCCTCATCATCAAAATTGTAACTATCTATATCGGTTTCCTTGATTTCAGATTTTATAGTATTAACTCTATGGTGTTCATATCCTAATCCTACTGCTTCACCTCCCATTAGTCCGGCAACCACTAAAGGAACTACTATTTCCCCAAATTGCCTTCTTTGTCGGTGCAAGATTCTCGAATCCTGAACCATAAGGGGGTAGACTTCGATGATTCCGAAATCATCACAATTTTTATCAGTATGCGTTTCTCGATTGTCTATCAAAATAGTTGTTTCCTCATGGCCTGGAGAAGTATATAAATAAAAGCTAAGCGTATAATTTTTCGACAATTTACTCATATCCATAGGTTGGAGAACAGGCGCACCAAGAAACAAATATTCCTCATTTTCTTCTACGGAAATTTCACGTAGTGACAATTTGTCTCCATCGGGCGTGATTAATTTCATTTCCCCGAAACGATTTTCCTGTTTTTCTAGTTGGACCATAACGAAGTTAGGATGCTCTTGTACAACAAACGTGTACTGAAAAAAGTTCCAACCAGCTCGTTTATGACAACCAGAACCTAGTTTTAGTACAGTGTCGGGGTCTCTATCCGTCATTTTATCTAGAATTGATGAATCCTTTATTTCAATAGTATCGGTATCTCTCCCTTGAAGGTTATTTCTACGCTCGTTGCCTCCACCCATTTTAAAAACAGTATCATTAGAATCTCGAAAATTAACCTCCTCAATACGGGGAGACGTAGCTAGAATTCCTTGAATTAACTCGAATTTACCAGGCGCAAGTGGCGGCGGTTGAGTTTGCGTCCAATCCGCAGTGAGTTTATTGAACCGGTCTATGGCAACTTCCGTTAAGTTGGTTCTGGTCGAAAAACAGTTTTGTAGGTTAATTTTATCATTTATGACAATGCTTCTCATTTTTAGAGCTAAGTTAGCCTCGGTTACATCAGAAACCAAGTAGCTGTCTATTGTATCATTTGAAAGAAAATAAGTGTTGGCTAAAACTAACCCTAGAGAATTTAGTAACGCTAGAAACAGCCTCATTTTCGAGACCGTAAATTGTACTTTGGGACGTGCGGAGTAGAATCGATCTTCAAATTCCCGGTGTCAAGTGGCGAAGATGCAATTTCCTTTAGGGGGTTTTCTACATTGTTTTTAAGATAGCCGTTTTCAATAAAGAGACCTTTATTCATTAGTGTTTTCATGTCAACTTCGTCAAGCTTGATCCTTAGCAAATGTCTACGATTACGTTTGGTGCGATGGCCGGTAAGAACATGTTGTAGTTGATAAGATCCGAATTGCAAAATTTTAACGACCCGATACGGGCCTGTATTATGGCGAGTATGTCCTAATTCGATTGAGGTGGGTTTAATCAAAACTAAATCATCGAGCTCTAGTTGGATTTCTGGTGAGCCGTCAGCAATACAGTAATTATCATATTTTTCTTTGGCTACTTCTCGCTGCATGTCCGAAAAATGAACGAGATATTCAGCTACATCCATATCTATTTTATTTTCTTCTAAATCCTGAGTCAACTCGTAGAGGTCGAAAATTTGCGGCGGCGAGATATTTAGAGCGATTTGATTGGGTGAACGATTCCCTAAGGATGCCATCGGCTTATTATTGTACATTCCGGCAGATAGTTGTACCACATGGTCAATTTCATGAAATCTAAAATCGCATGTTCTCAAAAAACTTCTTAGTGAACGATGTGCGCGCTCTACGCGATTCGCACG